TTTTTGCAGAAAAGGAACTTCATTACACTTCTAATGAAACAGAACACTAATGCAAGAGCAATTTTTTTTATAGAGCAAATTGCATATTTTGTATGTTCACCAACACTACAAAGTTATTAAAAATCTGATTTCCATTAAGACAGAATTGGTGGCTGCCGCAATTGAGAGTGAGATACACTAAAAAACGAGAATTTATAAAATGTTATAAATAATCAGGTTCCAGGTCAGAAATATCGAAGTTGGCAGCTCATTTCATCAGCACGTATTTCTTTTCGACGGTTGAATAAGTACGAGGGCTGTTCAATAAATAAGGTGAGGGGTCTTCCTCAGATATATTACACTTATCTGTATCTGTAGAATATGGAGGGTGAATGAAGACCCACAGCACTTAGGCCACATGTGACCCATTGTAAATCCTCTCGAGGAGTTGTCCTCCTAGGTCATCGTCCATCCTGTCCTTTCCAGGAAGGTGGACAGGTCACTAGGAGTGACCTCCTTTATATTGGCAGGTGTAGGCCAAGACTCGCTGAACACACACTCTCTTTGGCAACCTTAAGGTGTCTCACGATGGCCTCCGCGAAGGTTTTGGAGGGTACAGTGACATTACTGTCGTTGCGCGGCTTCTTCAACCTTCTTGGGATTATTTCCGTGGGAGTGCACAAATAAGGGAGCTTTCCTGCAGAGGGAGCTTTCCTGCAGAGGCAGCCTTGCCTTCATTCAAGGCGGAGCTCTTGGCACTCGCCGCAGGAAGTGCCCTTGCTATTGGAGGTGTTGAGGGGGAGGAGGAGAGTACACTTATAGTTGCTGCCACTCCTGCTTTCTTCGCTCTCTTTCTCCTTTTGGCTTTGAGGCCGCAAATGCGCTTACGCCTTGGGCTTTGTATCACATCATGAGGTGATCTGCTATGTCCAGCCTCATTCCAAGCGGTAGATTTGGGTGGACATTTCTGTTGATCCCCAGCCACCGCCTTAGATTGAGGTGATCACTTCTGTCCAGTCTCGGGATTGGATTTTGTGTTTGTTGTCTCTGTTTTGGTGTTTGTTTCATTCATGTGGGTTCCCACGAGTAGCAAGGAAAGAGTTGGTCACCTCTGGCAGAGCCCCGCATTACCAGATATAAGTTGATAACAATGAGGTTTCCCCTCAGTTCCCCAAAGGGATCGTTCGTAACCGCATATCACCCTGCGGCCAGTCAGCTGTCGGCACGATTCCTTACACCTCAGCTTGGGTAGGCTGGTCCACGGTGGCATATTTTGCAAAGGCTATTGGGGAGTTTTACTTCCACTCACTCTACTTATTTCTGCCACTGACCAGGAGTCCGGCGACCCCGTCTGTAAGGCCACATAGGCTCCCCTGACAGGGCCTTCAGTCCCCTGACCGTTCCCCTTTCCGACACCTGGAGACGCGTCCGACAGGTAGCCCTATACTTACGGGATATTATACTTATGCCAGCGTTTCTACCAATTCTCGAAATCATTCTGATATGCAGTTTTTGGTATGTCCTTGGCCTCTCTGGGATATTCTCCTCAATCGTCGCGAAACGCCATTATTTCACAAGTTTCCTCAGTCTTGGGAACAGAAAAATATCACAGGGTATCAACTCTAGTGAATACGGTGGCGGGTGAGGCATGATTACAGTGTTGTTTCAGGCAAAAAATTACGAATAAGCAATGACAAGTGAACAGGTGCATTATCGTGATGCAATAGCTATGAATTGTTTTTCTACAATACAGACTTTTTTTTGTATTGCTTCTCTCAAGATAAGCGAATAATTTTACTCATTTCGAAATTGAGAAACAATTGTACGCCAGGACTAGACGAAATATCATCGAAACTTATTAAAATCATCCATATTCAAATGTTCATGTAATGAACCTATGCTTTAAAAACTGAAGTATCCCACATCAATGGAAAGATTCAAGAGTAACTCCTGTGTATAAAGTGGCAAACGTAATGTCATTAGTAATTAGCGACCAATTTTGGTGATTACCAATTTCGCGAAATTGGTAATCGAAATTGGCGAAAGATTGGTTTACTTTTTCAATAAACATCACGTGATAACGAAACATCAATTAGGATTTATAAATAACAGAAGTACTGAAAATTCTATAATAGATTTTGTTGTACAAACAGTCGGAGCCTTGGAAACCTCGTCGAAATGCCTAGCGGTTTTCATTGACCTTGCAAAAGCATTCGACACTGTGTCACATGACATACTACTGAGAAAACTCTTTGGCATACGGGGAAACGCTCTACAGTTGATGCAAAGTTATTCATCACAGCGGATACAGAGAGTAAAAATCGGTAAGCAGTAAGCAGTTGAATATATCTGCTGGTGTACCTCAAGGAACAGTTTTGGAACCAATTCTGTTTCTTGCTCACATAAACAGTATTACACAGATCAGAGATTTTCAGGGGCTGGTGACATAGTCTCAGAATCAGAAGGTGAAACATGGCATGATGTTTTACATACTGCAGAAATAGAACTGCAGAAAGTACTGATGTGGTTAAATGATAATTTACTGAGTTTGAATGCCAAAAAAACCAAATTCATGACTTTCTCACTGAATTCGAGTACCCAATCAAACAATATCGAATTGTATCTACATAAACCTAGTTGCACAAACCGGTTATTCTGTAATTGTACCACTAATGAGAAAACAGCATCCATGGAATATTTGGGTGTAGTTATTGACCAGCATTTGAGATGAGATGAACAAGTGGCAAATGTCATTGAAAGAATGCGACTTCTCATGCATAAATTTTACAACCTCCGAGACATGCTCTCACGAAAAAACTTGCTAACAGTATATAACTCTAGCAGAATCAGTAATTCGATATTGTATTATAATATGGGGTGGTAGTTTCAATAATATTGAAAAAAATTGGCGCTTCACCACGGAAAAACTTTACAAGGAAACAAAGTTATTAAAAGTAAGATGTCTGTACAACTACCAGTGTTTGATATGGATGTTCTCAAACATTGACAAATCTAGAAATAATATACCCAGACCCACAAGATTCTTAAAAAACTCAAATATCCAAATACTAATTTACAGAAAAAATTATACGCAGAGACTCGTCTTTTTCTTTGGTCCAAAACTATTTAACATGCTATTTAACATGCTATTTAACAATAAACTTGAAAAATATCAATAACATAAATAAATCAAAAACTGTCGTAAAACAACATCTTTCAATGTTTTTTATGTATTCATCTATTTTCTACTAATGTGTACTAATCACTAAATTTCGGATCAATATTTATTGTACCCTCCAAATTTTGTTCATGAATGAGTGAATAAGCACAATACAGACATTTGTATGCCTAGGTGTCATTTACTCATTCAGAATGAATTATTATTAACACGCTTTTATCAGCTTCGCCTGTATGTATGTATGTTCGTTTGTTTGTAACTCTCAAGCTCGGGACCTGAATTTGACAGAATTATCGACATTATTGTTTGATCTATTCGCGTGCAGATGGCGTTGTACGTAACCTTCTTGATATATCGGCATTATTGCTTGATCTATTCGCGGGTAGATGGCGCTATACTCAACCTCCTTGATATAATCTGAACCCACTTTACATGTATTTATTCATTTGAAATTTTTTTTTTTTTTTAACATGCACAAAACAAGTAACGAATTTCAAACCAAAATATGTCACACACTGGAAAAGAAACTAAAACTATGTTTTTAGCCCTTCCACATTCTGAAAATGAGTAAAGCTCAATCAATGAATGATTTGCCAAAGAGTAATACTGAAAAGTTTACTCTTATTCACATTCCAGCAGATTCTCTCTAGTTGCTAAAACCCCAAAACTATTTTAAACTCTCCACAATCTGAAAAAATAAACGATGTTGAGTCAATAGAGAATCTGCTGAAGTGTAATGAAGTGCCAAACTATTTTCAACCCTACCCTTCCTAAAAAATTACGAAATCAATAAAGAATCTATTGATGGATGTAGCCGTTACCACGTGATAGGAAATCATAATGAAAAGAGAAATCAAAATTTCTATGTTTTTTATGTGTTCTATGTTTGAAAATGTCCGTATAGGACGAAACTGCAGTAACGTTAGTTACAAAAAAAAGTAAAAAACATAGAAATTTTCATTTCTCTTTTCCTAATAAAGAATCTGCAAAAGAGTAATACTGAAAAGTGTAACCGACATTTCAATGTATCAAATCTGTTTTTGGAGTTTTTTGGCCAAAGCCGGCAGGTTTATATTACTAACGTTCCGTATACAACTGCAGTAACCTTCATCAAAAATGATGAGGCAACAGACGCTCAGTTGTAGATAAAACGTAAGGTTCGTTGCAAACCTCAGTTAACAAAACAAAAAATAGCTCTGGCACAATTATCCACACTGGATACTCATTAGTAACCTTCGATCCTTTCTGGGATTTGTCTCTCCCCATCCCACAAAGAACTGGCCAACTGAGTTTGTCACATTGCTTGGATTTTTTCACAAGAGAGGAAACTCTGGATGGAGATGAAAAACCAACGTGTTCGAGGTGAAAGGAAAGAAAAAATGTACCCTAGCAATCTATAAGTTTCCCCTCATTTTGATAATTCATTTGAAAAGATTCTCTCCAACGGAAAGATTCAGAGGCAAATTGAATGTTTTCATTGACTTTTCTTCAGACGAATTAGATATGAGCAATTATGCAGCAGACAGCAGACTCCTTGTCGTTATAATCTAGATGCACTTTCAAATTATTATGGGACTACTCACAACGGGCATAACACAGCATATTGTAGACACCCACATAGTGGCACGTGGCATGATTCACACGTGTCCCAAATTTCACCAAGATCGCTTGTGAGTGATGAGGCATATATCCTCTTTTATGAACAGGAGGGAACGAAGCAGCTCCTTGAGGTGTATTTTTGTCTCTCTTCTTTCTTTTTTTTTATAAACTTAGTTCTCTGTACTTCATGATTGTTCCAAATATAAATATAAAAATCATCTTCAGCTGTTACAATTACTATTTTTTTGATTTTGCAGGCCATCCCAACATCAAAGTTTTTATAACACAAGGAGGAGTTCAGTCTTTGGAAGAGGCTATTGCCAACGAAGTACCAGTAATTGGTCTTCCTTTCATCTCCGATCAAAGCGCAAACGTCAAACGAATGATGGATCGAGGAGCTGGACTGGGTTTGGATCCAAATACCCTAACGAAGGATGATCTGAGAAATGCAATCTTGGAGGTAGCAACAAATTCACAGTAAGTGCGATGTATCCTGTGTAGGTAAATATCTTGTAGGTAACAAAAAACAGTACTTGGAAGTGATAGATTTCACACATTCAGATTTCACTCAGACCGAATGGATTTTTGAATCGAAATCACCATAACAACTGCCGATAGATTGGGATAATAATTCTGTAGGCTAACACACATATGTCGCTAGTAGTATCAAATCGATATGAGTTTTAGTTCACTCTAACCTTCAAAAGACACGTGTACCAATTTCACAGCTATCGGACTATCATTTTGAGGGATAAAACATTCTGGGGGAAGCAACTTTTGTTAGTCTGAAGCCAAGGCTTGGCTTGATAAACATTATTAGGACCTTGCACCAGGAAAATCTACCGTTCAGAAGTGCTTAGCTAAGTTCAAACGAGATAAAATGAGCACCGAAGACGATGCACGCAGTGCCCCAAAGCGACTATTACCGACGAAACTATCAAAGAAGTACACAAAATAATTTCAAATGACTGCAAAGTGAAGTTAATCGTGCATGCTGAGGATTCAAAGATATTAAAGGAACGTGTTGGACATATCGTGAATGGATATTTGGGTATGCGAAAGCTCTGTTGAAAGTGGGTGCCGCGCGTGCTCACAATCCATCAAAAACAACGAATTGATGATTCTGAGCAGTGTTTGAAGCTGTTCCACCATGGAAAATCCGAATTCATGCATCGATATGTGACAATGAATGAAACATGGTTCCATCATCTCACACCAGAATCAAAACAATCGTCATCTGAGTGGACTGCACGTGGTGAACCGACTTCGAAGCGTACAAAGACAGTTGTCTGGTTATGTTATGGTATCAGTATTTTGGGATGTGCATGGTATAATATTCATCGACTATCCTGAAAACGGAAATAACTAATTTTCCTTTATTTTCAGTATTTCAATATTAAATTCTACAAAAAGGATTTGAAGCTTTATATCTTCTATCAATTATCTTCTAGGCACCCTCAGTTTGAGGGTGCCTAGTGGCATTTTTCATATCAAGTCATTTCCTCCAAGCTTATGGAAATACGTATATTCTCAAGCAACATAAAATTTTCTTACTACTGATTCACTTGAAACGCTAAAATCATATTTTATTTCCGTCACAATTTGAAAACTTAAGTCTATTTTGGAGACACCATTTCAAGAATATATTAGAATGTTTGTTCATTTTAATTTCATATCTCAATGATTATTCAATCTACTGTGTGCTGGTGTACAGAGCGGACACTTTTTCAAATGGATTGTATTGGTAACTTTTGAGCCATAATAGTCAGAAGGTCGGTCAAATGATTGAAAAGTTGCAATAATAGAAACACTATCAAGTGGTTCAAACAAATCGATAATGTCAGGGCCGGTTATTGAGATATCAAAAGAAGAATACATGTCATTTTGTTTTTTTCCCACAATATTTCAAAAATTATCAAAACATTTGATAGTTAATTTTTTTCAGTTGGTTGTAATGCGAATTCAACGTATCATACTCTCTGGGACACCTCCAATCTAATTTTTTTCAATACGGACATGCATATTTCATGAAATAACTGTTCACGCTCAATCTAACGATATATCATACCTACAATGTCATTCATAGTTGATTTTCGAGTGATTTTGACCCTTATCCGATTTTCTTTGGTTCGAATCTTTATTAAATTTACCTTTAGTTTAATTAACAACATGCAATACCTACATTTCGATAAGAAAATCAACTCACTCATCTTAAACTGAATGAAAAGTATCAGAATCAAAGCAAGAAACAAATAATTAATATTTACAAATTTCAAGAGAAGAAAAACCTAATTGATAATAATTAAACGAAACTATCATTTATTTGAAAGAAAAATTGAATGATTGTTCGAAAGTAAATGAAAATTAATGAAGTGAGTGTTCGAAATGTCTAACATTTTGTTGAATGCACTTTGCGGTTTTGGAACCCAAACTTCTCGTATACAGTTGCTTATTTCATCTCCTTGAATACCTTTCAATCCAATTACAGAATCGAATGTTTTTTTCAAGATCATTACGATCTTAAAATCATTGTATTCGCATCTCCTGACTATTTTATTAACAACAGTTTTTGATAAATGGCATTTACTGGCCACAGTTCTCGATCTTTTTCTGGATTCATTTGAATTTGGGTCAGAACATTGATATCGTTGATAAACTTGTTTTTTCTTACATACACATAACTCTAGATTTATTGAATGTAGGCCGTCGATAAAAAAGAACATAACAAGCAATGCCATATTATTTATCACTTCGTTCATTATTGTGTTACAAGAACTTCTTATCATTGACTGCTTTTCTGTGTGATTTCAATTTAACTTATTCGATATGGTACGATACACACATGAAGAAATGAGTGATATGTACGGAGTGTACATAAAACTAGGTAGGCATTCGTTCAAAGCATAACAAAGGTATGATGAATCATATCCTGAAAAAACAACACCAAATATTAAAATGTTTCGACGTTCATCTACAACGTTACTTGCACATAATTCATTCATTATTCAACTTTCAAGTTCAAGTTTCTTTCAACACAATTTTTTTCCAGGTACAAAAAACAAATCAAGAAAGCGAAGTCAATCTTGTTGGATGAGCCCTTGGTAGGGGTGGAGAAAGCGGTCTGGTGGATTGAATACGTGCTCAGACACAAGGGTGCGCCTCACCTCCGCAGTGAAGCTGCTGACATGAGTTTCTTCGAGTATTTCATGGTCGACGTTCTGGCGTTCCTATCAATTTGTGTACTTTTGGCTTCATTCATATTTATATATTCAATGAGAGTTTTAGTGAAATTGGGACTATCCATATCCGAATCGCCTAAGCAGAAATCTGCTTGAGATAATCTAATCATTTATTTATCGACGATATTATGAAAATATCATGGACATTTTATTAACCACAGAGTGTATAAATGAATAGATCACAAATGAGACTGAAAATAAATCGATGAAATTCACGAAAAATGGTCCCAGTTTGTACATTAGGCAACGTTGAGAAAGAGCGACTACACTACATGCTCATTCAATCATAAATTAAAACTACTCGATACTAGGTATAGAAACATATATAAGGGGTAACAATTTGAAAACTTCCCACCCTCAGTATCTTCCTTCTAGTTGAAAAAGGGGGTGTCGAAAAATCAGGTCAATTTTATAGTCAAGGGGAACACTTTCAAAGAATATTTGTAGGCCATGTGGGTTCAACCTCCAAGGAGGAGTAGATGTAACCCTTAGACTTTCAAATGGAAAGGGGTGTCAATTGGCACATCATTATGATTGGCGTTCAATTCTGCTTCAAATGATACCCTGACGTTTTATTTTTTGATGAGCAGTTTCTTGTATGCTTCAGGCGTCTGGGGACGAGCGGCGAAATATAATATCTCCATTCTGGAGGTATTGCAAAATAAGCTAATGAGGATGATTGTGAATGCTACTTGGTTCGTGCGGAATGAAGCCATCCATCCGTTAGTTAGGGAAGCTATAGATTATGCTATAGACGACCCCTCCCGTTATAGAAGGCCCCGACACTCTGTCGAATGAGGCCCCTGTGTCTTCCGTTAAAAAGATGAATAATTTTTTCATCCATCCCACCCCAGCCAGGTAGGGGTACACCGTGAAGGGCGACAATGATGTCTGAGGACTTCATGCCGCCGACATCTCAGTCATGAAACCATTTGTCCTTCTTCGACAAAAATCAGTTCAAAGGGTAAGGGAGCTGGGCTCCAACCTGAACCAAATCAAGACGACGTCCAGGCCTTTTAATAAAAATACTTAGGAGAGTAGGTGAAACCGTTCCAACCCTTGAATGAATAGGAATGAAATGTTTTACGTGTGGGACTTTTTATTTGCGAGAAAGACATTTCAAACATCAAATCTGCTTATGCTTGTCTTATAAACTGTTCGAAATGTCGTCTATTTTGCTCTGAACAGTATTGAAGTCTATTTTCGAATTCTCCTTCAACATTACGGAAAACTTCACTAGGAATTGACTGGCATGCCGCTGTAATTCGTTTTTAAGTTCTTTAATATAAGAAAATTGGGATATATTAACAACGGAGTGAATATGCCTCCAACGAAAAAACTATGAGGGTGTTGAATTCTTCTTTGGAATATTGTTCTCATGTATGGATCTCCGCCAATAAGGATACCCTGAAGCTGCTAAATTTCATCCAGAAAAGAGTCATCCGCCTTCCAGTAATTCAAATCCAATATGTGTCCCTACTTTTGCACAGGCGCCTTGGGGATTTTTCTGTATTGCTTGGGCTCCCCTTCTGCTAATCCATCCATCTGTAAATCTCTCGTTTAACCACTGTCGGACGGGAAGAAAATAATGAGGTGGAGCACCGTCTTGCTGAAAATGTAACAGACCCTCCTGTAAAAATACATCATTTTCTGCATCTATTCGAGTTTCTATCTCGTGAAAGCGATAGTCTCTTTAAACATTTCGAAGTACAGCGTGCCAGTCGAATTGTCTTCCAGAAATAATGGACCAATAATGGCATTTCCAAGAATACGAGGCCAAACATTGACATTTTGTAGGTTTTGTATATGCGTATGCCCTTTCTGAAATATATGTGGGTTAATTTCAGAAAAAATTAACACTCATCGCTGAAACACGTTTAACAGAAGATTAGGAATTGTATTGACTAGATGAGACATGATTTCACAAAACTCTATTCTTCTATCATAATCATCTTCGTGGAGCCCCTGGAAAAAATGCATTCTATAACGATGAAATTAATGTATTTTCAATGTTTTTCTTACACTCTCACAAGACATCACCGTCTGTTCTGATACTGATCGTAAGTAGCTTGTGGGCTCTGTAGCAAATGTTCCCAAAACTTCAATTTGAGCTGCTTCATTTAGTACTCTCTGGCGTTATTTTTTTGATTCGTCAATGAACAAGTTTAGTGAAACTCATTTACCAAATCAAGCACATACAGATGATTTACATTACGATTTTGATGTCTTCCGTTAAAGACATATACCGCCCTTCGAGTGCACTTTCCAACTTCTCCATAAATCACAGTCATTTCAATTGTGTCTTGGAGAATGTAAACCATTTTTACAAGTTTATACACCTATATTAAAGTAATCACTTAACAGCCCAACAGGTACAACTGTATGCACAATACTACCACATCGTTCAAATTTGCGAACCTATTTTTTGCCTGAAAACAGCAACTTTTTACAGCAGAAGTACCTTTTTGTAATGAGAAATAAAAATTCAGTATGTACTTAACACAACTTTACTACCATCTACGTTCTACTGTTAGATTACTTTTTGATATAAATTATTTGGTGGTACCGTTCGAACCCTCTAATGAAGGGCACTTCCTAATATTCTTATCAATCCTGGTCAAACCATGCGTCTCAGTATAGGCGTACTAATAATTACTTTTGTTACTTTGGAACACTAATTTCCGGGAACCAGGTCAGGGTACCACTGAGAGCAGAATTGAACGCCAATTAAAATGATTTTCCACCTGACCCCCCTTTCCATTCAAAATTCTAAGGGTAATATCTATCCCTCCTATAGGGTTGAGCCATGAGGGCTTCGAAAGTGTCTCCCTTGACAATGGTGAAAGTTCGAGCATCAGTTCGGACATCAGTTCGGACTTCCATTGTCTAATCTAATATAAATTGATTTGAAAACCCTGAAGAAAACAATTGAAAATTTAATAAGAATAACCGAAAATAACAATTTTATTGAACAAAAAACTGAAATTATAAAGAAATAACATGCAAGCAACAACCAAGCAAATAAAAAAAATTGAAATATCAATAAAAGCTGAAAAATTAAAATTAAAAAATATTGTTGATAAAAAATGAGAAGATTTCAAACCAAGTTATGTCACGAGGTTTCTATTGTTAGTATCCACAATCGTCTTCAGGTGATAACTGGACTCATTCCTGCACGTCATCTTGACCTTATTCAGGTTGAAGGCCAGCTCCCTTACCCTTTGGACTGATTTTTGTCGAAGGACAAATGGGTTCATGACTGAGATGTTGGCGGCATGAAGTCCTCAGATTTATTCCTCCGAGATCTGACTATTTATAGGTCGCTCGAGTACTTTCACCTATCCCCTCTTCCCTATTTCTGCTTCATTGGTTTTTAGCGGGAGATGACCGTTTGGCGGGAATTCGTCGTTTTTCGCTTGATTGCAGGTTTCCATATGTTACGTATCTCTACGCTAGCTTGACTAACCCCTAGTTTATAATAATGCAAGGTAAGGTGAGGTAAGGTAATGCAGAGAGGTAAGGTGAGGTATCCATTTTTAACGTTCACGAAAAAGTAAAGTATGAAGAATTGCCATAGTGATTATAGGTTTTGGTAATTTTTGAGTTGGCAGGATTGTATGAACAAATATTGACTTTTCTTAATCTTGACAGCAGCAATTTTAAACAATTTCACTAAGTAGATGTTCAAAACATATTTTGTTCATTCTTGTGTACACCTGGTCTTTCTGCTTCTCAGAATGGGTCTAACATTGAACCTCCTCCTTTTTTGTTTCTTCCTCTTGAGTAAAAGATAGACACTTACTATTGACACGATCGCGGCAATTTTTGTAGTTATATCTATCAAAAGAAAAATCAAATTTCACAATGTGACGTTTAAGTTTATCTGGTGACATTACCTTTACACCATTCGAATATATCCGTCAAAGTTTGTAGTATGGCGCTTTTTGATTGGACGGAGGTAAGAACGCAACGCAGAAAGTTGAAAATAGCCGACTTGTTACCTTGCGTTACTTTGCCTTACCGACGTTACCTTACCTTACTTTTTATCTATAACGCAATTGTGTTTTCACAATGCTTCAACTTTCTTACCTTACCTCGTTACCTTGCGTTTTTATAAACTAGGGGTTACCGACATTACCTTACCTTACTTTTTATCTAGAACGCAAGTGTGTTTTCTCAATGCTTCAACTTTCTTACCTTACCTTACCTCGTTACCTTGCGTTTTTATAAACTAGGGGTAAATGCGATGTTGGACAACATATACGCGGCTTCTTTGAATTTTCTCCTGAACCAGTGTTCCTCTTTGTGGACGATTTCAGCTTGAGCCCACTTGATTTCATGTTAATGAGTCCAAACATGCTCTACTATTCCAGATTTGCTGGTTTCTCCTCGCTGTATGCGTTTCTTATGCTCAGCAACGCGAACTTTCAATGGCCTCCTAGTTTCACCGATGTATGATTCTCCGCACTCGCAGGGTACCCGGTAAATGCAATTCTTGGAATCGCAGTCCGCGTTTGGTGGCCTTGTTTTCGTAAGGCTGTTACGGATAGCGTTCCCAGATCTGAAACAGTTCCTGATGTTGTACTTGGACCCAATCCTTCTTATCCTTTCCGATAATCCTCTGATGTAGGGAAGTACAAGTACTGGTTGTGGCGGCTTCTCTTCCTTGTGGAGTTCTTGCTGTCTATTAGCTAATGCCTGTTCTATCATCACTCTGGAGTAACCATTCCGTTGTAGGTCATTTTTGATGATGCCTAGTTCGAGACGCCTTTGTATTACAGAGCCCAAAAGCACGGTCTAGTAGAGTCTTGATGATTCCTTTCTTAGTCGATTGACGGTGGTTTGATTACTGGTTCAGATACTGTCCTGTGTGAGTGAGTTTTCGATATACAGATGTTTCCCATTTAATGTCGGTCCTCTTCACCAATACGTCTAAGAAAGGCAATTCGTTGTGGACTTTCTTCTCCATTTTGAAAGTGATGAAAGGACTTACGTTGTTGATGTGCTTCAGGAAAGTATCTTGTTCTGCATTCCCATGGTTCCATATTATGAAGGTGTCGTCTACGTATCTCAACGCGACTCGGGGCTTCTTGTGGGCTTCTTCAATGGCCAGAGTTTCAAACCACTTCATATATATTGGCTATAATAGGTGAAAGTAACATTGGCATTCTCTCATCTTGCGTAAATAATACGTCCTTCAGTTGAAAGTAGCAGTTTCTAGTAATTCCATGATTACTTGTATCGGTAAGTTTGTTTTACCTTTCAGGTCCTCATCTTCGGAAAGCTTCTTCTGTATGATTTGAAGTGCTTCTTCGACGTTGGAGTAGAACGTTAGTGTAGAGGCTTTCCACGTCGAAACTGATCAGTTGATCCTGCTCTTTGACTTAAATTTCCCCTAGTAGTTCAACGAAATGCCTTGAATTTTTCACAAAAGATGATGTTTTACCTTGCAGTGGTTTGATATTGGTAGTAAAAACTGGACAATTTCTGAGTGGCTGAATATCTGGAGGTCAGTTTATATTAGATTAGACAATGGAAGTACGAACTGATGAAATACACCACGAAACATTGTCAACCACCTTCAAACAAATAAAAATGGCCTCTTTTCATTTTCCCATCTTGTTTACTGGAAAGAAGATATTAAGGGTGTGAAATTTTCAAATTGACGCCTCATTTTCAAAATTGTGTAAACGAATAATATGTGGTATAATCTACATTGTTGTTGTCTGAGAAGCATTACGCTGAGCGATATTTCGAGTGTATTTTTCATTCCTTCTTCTCGGACCTAGTTGGTATCATCATTTTCTGTAGTTCGGATGTTGGCAATTCAACAAAAAGAGTCATGAGAAGACCTAGTATGTAGGACGTGATCACATCTCCACACCAATAGTATACCTGCGAACATTATTTCAATAACAGAACATGTAATAAAACTTCTTTACTATTATAATCGCATCAGATGAGTTACCGAAACTTATCGATATATTGTTATGAATTATTTAAATCTCCCCAATTCATTTAAAATGAGCGAATACAGGATGAATCAACAAAATTTCCCAACTTTGTTACTCTGGCTATTGTGATGCACTGTTTGGAACCTTTTGTGTGCTAATGAATATTACTGGAGTTTTTTCCCAACATCAAAGAGGAAGATCAGTTTGAAAACTGAAAAACTTCAAGTAATATTTACTCTGGCTATTATTGGGGTATGTATGTCCTGAAAAAGAAGAATCAGCTGAGCGAAGAAAGGAAGGAAATAAGTTTACTAGGTATGTTTATGCAAAAAATATTCATTACTTCTGAAAATTATTCATTACTTCAAAGACGTTTTTCTGTGATACATCAATTTGAATTTTGATTATTTAGAAAAGTATTATACTTTTTCACAATTTTCGAATACTGAATAGCTTTATTTTTTTTAACGTATGTCAAAACCGGAGAAAGATTGTTTTATGAAAAATCAACCAATAAAGAAAGCTAAGTATTGATATTTCATTTCCTCAATTGATTTTTTTCAATTTGTAGGCAAAATTTATTGATACGACAAGTCACTGACCAATTGGACTTTGGACTTTCAGTGGTTTATATTACGCAGTAATATTTTGGGGTGGACTTTTCAGTTTTCCCTTCAGTAAATATCAGCAGATTCTCTAGTGATTTAGATTTGTTTATTTTTCAGATTGTGGAAGGTTGTATACTCGTCCTTCACAAATAAAAGTCAAAAAGTAAAAGAATACTGTTGTATAACTTGTATGAATGAATAACTATTGGAAAATATTCAACCCCCACATCAAAAAAGTAAAACATACAAAATTCTATGGAGCATCACTATTTTTCATAAAACTGGTTTAGGACTGATAAATCTAAAAAAATTAATTTTAGTCAAATTTTTGCAATCTTCTTGAGACACAAATAACAGAATGTTGGGTTCTGTTGCATGTATTGCAAAACTATATGAAAAATTTTGAAGAACAGGACAATCTAGTGTGCAAAACGATTTCAACGTCTATTTACAAAAAGCAGAATATTGTTATCATCGGAGGAATTCTGATACAATCTTCCAGGATTAGCTCACTTTTCCAGGATTGACTCACTCCGAAGCGTTCATACACCCTTCGAAGCTTGAAACCAAACAGTTCTTGGACCACAGTAGGGATGAACTATGAAGTCTAACAGGCCTTCTCACAGGTCAAAATCGTCTGAATCATCATATGTCGTAACTCGGACTGTCGGAAGACAGTGTGTGTCGCCCCTTTTTGTGAAATGAAGAAACAAAAGAGCACATACTTTGTGCCTGCCCCGCTGCAGACCGAATCAGGTTTTTAGAGTTTGGCAGAGACATACTCTTACCATCTGACCTGAAAGATCACTCAGTACTTAAACTAATCGTCTTCGTTGACAAACCGGGTTTATTTGGTCGAGTTTGAATAGGTGTGAGCCACAATAAACCTTTGCGGGTTGTGGTGGAGAGTCGAATATAACTACTCACTTCTGACCTACCCTAATGGATTCTACACAATTGCATATGCAGATGATAGTTATCTTGCAGAACCGGAAAATTTATGAACACCCTGTGCGATAGAACACAGGAAGGGCTCAAATAAATAGAAACATGGTGTAAGGAACACTCCCTGTCGATCGATCTCAAGAAGATTGAGAAGGTCCTTTTCACCAGGAAAAGAAGTTTATCGGGCTCAAAACCTCCAGAAATCTTTAAAAGCAAACTGAGCTTCTCTGAAGAGGTGAAATACCTTGGTGCTACCCTCGACAGGAAGCTACCTACGGAGTAGAGCAAAAAAAGCATATGTGGCTTATGAGCAATGTCGGAGGACAGTGGGACGCGCATGGGGTCTTTCACCCCGTGTAGTCACCTGAATCTACACTGCAATAATAAGAGCTATGTTAACGTACGAAGCCATTGTTTCGGAACCAAAAATTCTACAAGCAACAGCCACCCAAAATTTATATCAAATATATTATATCCACACCAACCGCGGCAATGGGATTAATTACTGGTCTAACCACCCCTCAGGACCTGTTCATTAAGGAGGTTGCGTTAATGGCCATGTTACGATTGCGTACGGCTGTTGTACACCTCGAATTAGGAATTGGCTAATTGAGGCTGAGCCTATGGCGAGAAATGCAACTGATGCAATTGAACCCAGGTTTGTGTTTAATAAACTTTACAAAATACAAATAAAACAGAACACAACACAAATGCAATACGCATGTATACAGATAGAGTGTCACCAATATTTAGTCAAAGCTTCGGTAGATAATAATATTATCCTGAGGTGGGTTAAAGGGCACGACAGGAGTAAAGGTAATCGCATTGCCGTCTCCTTAGCCAAGGAAGCGGCTGGACTAAGAATTTTAGGACCCAGTAGCACCTACGGCCTGATGATTTCGAGAATTGCGGAACTAGTCAAATGTTACACCCATGCTCAATCCTTAAAGAGATGGGACGAAACCAAAGGATGTAATCTTGTCAGGATTACCTTGGGCGACCATTGCCAGATATTTCTTCGGCTGGCGCCGAAGAAATATCTGGCAATGACCAGGAAAAATGCTAACAGTAGGATTTCTGACTCGCCACTGTCAACTAAGGAAACACTTCCATAATATGGGGCTAGTGGACACACCTCTATGCAGGTTGTGTGAACAGGAAGATGAAACTGTCAGGCATGTCCTGTGCGAGTGCCCGGAGTTATCATCAATGATAGAGTATGTGTTCGGCGAGTCTTGGCTTACACCTGCCGATATAAAGGATATGTCTCCCAGTGACCTGTCCACCTTCCTGGAAAAAATAGGATGGATGATGACCTAAGAGGATAACTCCTCGGGCGGATGTACAATGAGTCACATGTGGCCTAAGTGCTGTGGGTCTCCCTCTCCCTACGCTACAGATACTGATTGACCTAACTCAGCCTATTATTAGAGATTTTGATTTGAATCTTTCCGACAAATTTGATTTTTTAGATAATAGACTATAATTGATGATAATAGCTTTACAATTGGAGAAATACAATGCAACCACTGTAGCCATTTTGGTTGACAATCACAAATTGAAGTAAAAACCATGTTGTGAAGACAGTAAAAAAATAATACACTGGCATGTCCCAATACATTCTGTTGAGCAAATCGACTATATTTGTCAGAATATCTCGTAAATATTTTGAAATTTGAGTGACATATATTTTTCGATAAAAAACTAAATTTCAGGAGAACATAAACATTTTGTGGAATATTGAAATGAAATCATTTCCAAGCTTTGAAAACATGTACATTGAATGAACTAATATTAGGTTGTTCCAAAAGTTTTCTTCATTTTCATGGGTCTACTTTGAACTACAATATCTCAGTGAATACTCATTCAATCTAATCGAAATGGACCATTTGAAACAGTGCATTTCTGCCAACGTCGTCATGAGAGTAGGATACTCGGATTCGATGAAGTCGATGAAGGCCGTTTTTCACTGTTTTTTGATAACTTTCTCAGCGGTAGAACCGGTTATCAGAGTGCTTTAAAAGATGGTAGTCGGTTGGCCAAAGGTCTGGATAGTATGGTGAGAGAGGCAGAACTTCGACGCTCAACTCGTTAAATTTACGCACGGTGATTTGTGAAACGTGTGGACGATCGTTGTCGTGGATCAGGATAGGACCTTTTCTGTTGGCTAGTGCCGGATTTTCCTAACTCAATTTACGGTACATTTCATCGATTTCCTCACGATGGGACTCGGCTATGATGGTTTGGCCCGGTTGAAGAAAGTTCTAGTAAATCACACCAGCCGCTTACAATAATACAGTAAACATGGTCTTTTTTCAATGGGTTTTCGCTTTTGAGAAGCGCCTGGATGGCTCATCGCTATCCAACCATTATCCTCAAGGTCTTCTGTTGTGGAGGATCCACTTTTCATCACACGTGACAATCCGATCCGAAGAAAAACAGACTTCGAAATGTGACAATTTCTATCGATCGTTCAAATCATGGAGCACCCACCGATCGAGCTTTTTGACCTTTTCTATACGTTCCAAATCATCAAGAATCGCACGGGAGCTGACGACCAGTTCTTCCGCCATCCCACGCCTCGTTATGATGAGTCAATCTCCACCAGGCTCCTCAAATCCTCGTCCTAGATTACTGTAGGTCAATTACTTTATTGATGTTTTGTAAGTTGACTACTTCGGGGCTCATCTCCGAAGATAAATTCTCCAAAATGAAATTTCGCAAACCAACGTCAATTTGAATTCGTACAAAAATGGTCAAAAATTGCTCAACGATATCATATAGTTATGAGCTAAATAGGTGTGTAAAATTAAAATTTAGACAAAATAACAGCATTAATGTATAGTATATACCACAATATAGTGGAATAAATATTTATTGAGATATCTAGCTACAAAAACACGTGATAATAAAACAACGTAATATATGATTCAAGTAATGATTCTATCGACAAACATACACAAAGGGAAATAATAAATGAATTTGGAGTCTACGCAATTTTTTGCAGTCTTTGCTGGTGAAGTGATCGACATTATACAGGGTGTAACTAAATAAGTGTAGGACATTCAAGGAGGTGATTCCTCTAATATGAAGTTTCTAATGAAGTTTCATATAAAGAAACTTCATTGGAGCATCCCTTGTTAAGATACAGCCCCTTAAAGGGGGTACATAAAATTTGTATAACAATTTTTTCCACAAGCACTGAAAAAGTTACAATATTGAAATTAACCTGACGTTTTGTGTTTAGAAAAACATTCTTCAAAGAGTCTGGATATCTCTGAATATTACCTGCATTATATTAGTTAGGCTAATTTCAAATTGTCGGTCGATATATTTTCAGGAATATCTGGGATTCCTATTGATTGAACTTCAATGCACTTCAGCGCAATAATTTGGGGAAATAATTATCGACTCATCCTGTTCACCTCGTATTGAAAGAATTATAAACATTATGAGCCACGAATAATGTTGCGATATTTACCAGATGAAAATCACTGACGTACGTAGGAAATCTTGAACTGGCCACTCTGTAGTATATTATTGTAGTGTGAACCAAGTAAGCACTGAAGGATAATCTTGCTAAAATATAAGATGGATGCCATTCCAGAATAGCTTTTGTGATCCCTGAAAATGTATTCATCAATCAGTTATTCGTAGTAAGATAGAACTGAATGATTTTTGAAATTTCGTGTAGTTTATCAAGAATTTTCAAGTATGAAAATGAAATAAAAAATTTCTGGGGTGAGGAAATGTGAATATTGAATTTGAACATCAAGTCAGAGTATTTATTAGGTAGTACCGATTGATGTAAATATCATTACACACATTTTAAAAAACATTTTTGATTTTCGATGGTATTCAGTTTGACTCATTGGTTTAATAGTTTTTGAAATTGAATTAAAAGCAGCTAACCTTCACAACTTCGTTTCTTCGTTCCACTTGCAAGAGACTGGCTTCTCACAACCAAATACTTGATTTTCAGTTTTTTTAACGAAAATAATATCTTTTCACAACGTGAACTTTGAGCTGGTTGTTGGTGAGACCTTAAGTCTTTGAATTGAAAACATTTTTCCCCTTCAGAATAGAATGCTGTTTCTCGGAGCACGTTTCGCTAATCAAGTTAGCACCATCAATAGTTGACTGAGACTACTGCTTGAAACAATGGTTATGTCTCCATATGCATCTAGACAAATTTATCAACCTGCTGATGAGGGTCTTTGTTATTGTTCCCTTTCTTATTTGCTACCTGTTTGATCCCTAACTTTTACCAGTGTTCTACCTGAAATAACGTAAAAGCACGATTATTGGGCTTTTATCACTATTCCTATATGTCTGGCTTATGATGTCTATGTCAAACATGTTCTCTGAAGCAATTCATTATAGTATGCTCAGTTTGACCAACATCTTCTTTATCGCAATTTCCACAGCTTATTTCGCAAATCCAGTCATCCAGGTTGCCCAACACATGTTGAAGTGTACGACTTTTGAAAGCGACTTTCATACTTTATTTTTCAAAAATCCTTTAGTGTATCTTAGTTCCTATGTAGGAACTATAAATTCTGAGACTTCGCCATGGTTCAGAATTCGCTATTGCTACTACAGAGTGCAACAGACTGTTGGTTGACACTGGAATTCACAGCATTCTGGAAATGACCTCTGGTTTTATGCCTCCAACTATCAACTACGAACTGCCTTATAAGTAATGTTCCCGAGTAGAGAGTACTGGATCCTTTGGGAGAAGGAAATATTAAGAGCAGATATTTGTTGGTTCACAGATGGATCAAAAACAAATTCCGGTTCCGCTGCAGGTGTTTCCAGTCGCAGACCCAGGACAGATATATCAACCTGCCTGGGAACCTATGCGACTGTATTTCAAGCGAAAATTTACGCTATTAAATTGTGCGCCGACAGATTGGAAGAATCCAACCTCAATGAAAATATTCTCGGACAGTCAAGTGGCGTTGGAAGTTCTTGGCTCCTACCGAGCAACGTCTGAAATGGTAGCAAATTACCAAAAACGACTCTCCTTGATAGGAAGACTTAACACAATGTGTCTGATCTGGATTTCTGGCCATACTGGCCTGGAAGGCAATCAAGCTGCTGACTACCTTGCAAAGGAGGGTGCTGCAAGCAGCTTCATTAAACCAGAACCTGTCATTGGCATCGATTTAGGCTTTGCCAAACAAAAATCAAACACCTGGATGGCAAGAAGGTTTATAGACTTCTAGCAGAATCTTCCACTCCAAGGCCTTCACTCACCCTTCGAAGCTTTATACCAAACAGTTGTTGGACTACAGTGGGTATGAACTACGATGTCTAACAGGCTGCAGAGACTCATACTGTCGGAAGACAGTGTTTGTCGCCCCTGTTTGGAAAATGATGAAAACATCAGAGCACATACTTTTTGCCTGCCCCGCTGGGGACCGAATCAGGTTTTTAAAGTTCGGCAGAGCCGTACTCTTACCATCTTACCTTAAAGATCACTCACCATACAAACTAATCGGCTTCGTTAAGAAGCTGGGTTTATTTCATCGAGTGTGAATAGGTGTGAGCCACAATAAACCCTTGCGGGTTGCGGTGGTGGGTCGAATAGACCCACTCACTTTGGACCTAACCTAACCTAGCCTACATTCATACAAGTACATTCATTTTATTAATTCGATTCCAAATCGAATAGAAGTCAACAAGCTCTGCTAAGAAAATTTTTTAGGATTTCCACTTCTTCATTGATTCTTAAAAAAATAAAGAACTGAACTTCCAGAGAGAAAAAAATGAAATTGATTCATTGAGTCTATTCGTATTTTGCACTGACATATCTATTTGGCCACAATAGAAGTGTTCGTGAAAATCATCCGTATTTCCACCTAGTTACTAGAATCCAAACCACAACGACATATCAATGGGCTTGTTTCATACTATGGAAAATGATACTGGTTTGCTTATAGACTGATCGAATTAGGGGTATATTATACTTATCAAGCTTAATCGGCCCCAAAATCTCTTTATATTTACAGAAAAAAGAATAATTCGAAAAGCAAGAATTTGAATTGGCCGCCTATCTGTTGACCAATAAAATTGATCGTGTCTAGAGCGGAGTTGCCAAGTGTATTGGTTTTTAATATCCACTCACAGATCTGATGATCCAATTTGACNTGAAGAAAACAATAATGTGATATTATTGAATAATGCATAAAATCATAGTTTAGGTAAATATTTTGTGATCTATCGACTTTGTGTACTGATTATAGATATAGAACTTATTTCCAAACATGATTTTTCGTGTACTTACATTTTATTCCATGTGGAGAAGTTTCCATTAATTGAAACGTTAACGGGTTCATATACACTTCCATAATTAAATTGATAATTATAGGCTCCGTAATTTTCACGATTTGGCAATGTTGATCATTTCTATTCTTCTTATTGGTCAATCGAACAAGAAGCGGGAATAGGGGTCTACCACATTCGATTTTTAATAATTAATTACGGGAAAACTACGGTACTTAGAGAGATGAAGCAAAGTGTACTGTTTCTCAATTTAAAATTTCTATCAAGTGAACTATAAACCAAAAATCATGAAACAAGCCCATTCATTAGGAATGAAGTATTTTTGAAAAAGATTCATTTTTGTAACTTCACCTAGTTGGCAATAAATGCGGAATTTGATAGGAAAATCGAAAAATGTATTGTTTGTCATTATTGTTATTCAAACAAGTTGACCAAAAAATAAAAATCACTAGTTACGTAACGCTACAAAGCTAATTCAACTGAAAAGTGGAAAACAGTCAGGACGCGGGTAATATTATGTCATTAAAAAATGATCACGCTTTATATGAGATATCCCGGGAAAAAAATTCATTATAGACAAAAAATAAATTTCAAAATTCCATTAATTTTTGAATTGCCATGATTATACTCACATCCCACTCCAAAAAATGTTAAAAATAACGCAGATCCAATGGCAATTATGAAAATCGTTCGACCTAATGCAACGTTCAGAGAAGCCCAAAATATATCGTGTTCGGTTTCTTTGTTCATGATGATAACAGGTGGCAGAATTGCCATTCCTAGTCCTAATCCATACACCAATATGTGAAAAATGATTTGATTCATCACCTAAAACAAAAATGAAATTCCATTTCGAGATTCTAGGAAACTCACGTTGAAAGGTATGACCTCGTTGGTCACTAACACGTACAAGTTTCAACTTCAGAGGCTTGTTCATGAGAGGCGACAGCTAATTAACGGACATTCTGTCCTGGTTTTTTCATTAACTTTTTCCAGGAGTATCTAGCCAAACAACATATCGACAGTTATTTTATCATTTGATTGACCTGAATATCAAAACCATGTAATGGTGTGCATAAGCCTTGGCGGCAGGAGGCATGTTTCGGTGGGGGCGTCAGGGCGAGCTTGTCTGAAGTAGAAGTCACTTTGCTACTCTACCCTTAAGGTAGGGGTACTCATGAAATGTAGACATGTAGAAATTGGTGAATACAAGATATCCGCAAATGGTAAATTATTCCTGTGGATATGGACTTTTAAAGGACATCCATAGAAAGTCCATATAGGACACCACCAAGACATCTTTAGCAGTCTTATTATTATATTCTTCTACGGCTATGAGAAGGGCTGTAATGGTCATAAAAACCTACCGTACTTTCTATTATTCAATTTCCATATTACCAACGGGATCCCAGATGATTTCCTGAGGATTAGGTAACCCAAATTACATCTTTCACCTCGCTAAGATTTGAACTTATCATTTTTTGAGACGAGATATTTGTGAAAGAATTTTGATAATAAAATTCAATAATTTGCAAGCGTTGTTCATTCGTGAGTTGATTCATGGTTAAATTATAGACCAAACTGAACAAGTTTAACACTGACACAAGACACGATTCACGCGTGATCTGTCAAAAACAGTGTTGCTGAAAAGATACCAACAAAAAATCTCTCATTTCTAATCGATCAGATTTTCTCATGCAAACAAAGTTGTATGTAGCAGAAGCACAAAACGCCAACAAAAAATGCAGCACACATATTAGGTGTTGGTTGTCACATGTGACTACCAGCCCCCGTCAAGTTGAGACAACCAGCCCCAAACTACATTTCAAAATATAACCCCCTGTAATAACACAGAATAGATATTCATTCATAAAAACGAATATCATGAACCACATATGTCACATACTTATGATACTTGACACAAATGCACAAAAATTTACTTTTGCCGTCCAAATAAAACAAATGTAGGTACGTATTTCCCTGAAACAGTATGAGGGTGAACTTAAGTGACGTTAGGATGGAGATATTGCTCTCGCGATCCTTCGATTTTGTTCGATAAACTCTTTCGTTCGTTCAATTTTTCAATATGGCCGCTGTGACAACCAACCCGTGAGATAACCATATCCGGTCTCCCCTACTGTTTCAAACCGGATAAAATCAGTGAGTCAGTTGTGTACTGGAGAGGTTTAAGCGACAACATGCTCAGTATTTAGTTGGGTGACTTCTTCTGACTGTTAGGAACAGTCCGGGCAGAATATTCGTAAATAGCCGACGCGTTATCCGTTCGGGATATTTCGACGGCGGTCGAGCGTTTGGTTAATACCTGACGTATCATGATGATATGTTTTGTATTTACTACCCTCAATTTTTCATGTATTAATCATTTAGGTTCAGAAGTTCAACGTTTGTGCATGTAGTTTTAATTTAAAAAGTTAATATGCGTGATTTAAGTAATCTACCAGGAAACTATCAATACAAAGCAATAATTGACAGAAATGTAATGTATAATGACCAAATTTAAGTCCAAAGAAGATGTTGAGGTAAGTTGATAACGTTATTTTGTATATTTTCTACCCGAATGCGCGATAGCAAAAATAGTGCAATGTTCTCAACGTGTATGCATGTAATTGTGTTTGAAAATGAAAGTGGGATTCTCAATATCCGAAATGTATCGAAATGGCGCAGCGGTTCAATATAGTAGGGGCTATTTTTAATGTCAATAGCGAACTTAGTAACCACAGTGTTCTTTTGAGCCTCTCCTGAAATCTTTCAGAATCGAAATGATATTTGAAAAAAAATATATTTTCCAAAAAATTGTATTCAGAAAACGTCTTTAACAAATTTGTAGTAAATTTGTATATCACTTTATTGTTAAAATTGCAAAATATGTTGTAAAAACAAGTTTAATTTTGGTAAATTGGTTGTATTACAGAAATGGATGGCTGACCTACAAACTTTTACGAAAGAAACATGGACTATTTAGAAAACTTTTAAGGTGCCTCCTAATTCTCCTCGAAATTTATTCAAAAGAATATATAGATGTCATTTAAATATATCAATTGAAAATAAAAGAACATGAAACTAAAAGCAATAAACGTAAAAGGAAGCAAAAATAATTGTCGTTATAAAGGAGATATTTGAGAAGTCTAAGTCAAAGAAGGAGACCTACTTTACAGAAGAATGGCCTTGTATGATAAAATTTCAAGATTCTCATAATCATAAGATTGATGTTGTGGAAGCATAAGGCGACGAAGCTATAAAAGTCACTTAATAGAACTTTTCAACCGAGGTCACTCTGCTGCTTCTGCTATAACACAATTTGTGCGGAGAAAATGGAAGAATATGGAGATGATTATGAAACTATTCTATACGATAGGTAAGTACCGATTTTATGGGACACCCTGTAGACAATACGAAGTTTTATCGTCAATTCTTATTTTTTACGCGTAACTTAAAGGTGCTAAACATCTTTAATTCAGCCAACTCTTATGTATATTTTCAGGTTCTATATGCTAACTAAAAATGATGTCGCCAATGTGTGGAAAAAGAAATTCAAGAAGGACTTCGGTGACAGAACTGGTAGTTGCATGGTAGAAAAATTAGAAGAAACATTAACGAAACATAAAGAAAACAATAATGTGCTTCATAATATATATCGTTTTCGTGAAGATTGTGCTGTCGCTATTTGTACTCCATTGTTGCAGCGCGCATTACAACTGAATCAAGCTAACGAAATCATGTTTGTATATGCGTCGAGCAACTGTGACGTTTATGACCACAAAGTATACTTTTTTGTAACTCAGACCGCGGCGGGAGGATTACCTATTGGTTGTATACTGAACAGCTGTCAAAAATCTGATTTGTTTGATGTAGCAGTGGTGGACTTGATAGAAATAATGCCCAAAAAGATTCAGCCGAAAGTAATTTTGACAGATAATCATCTTGGCGAACGTAAGGTTTTGCAAAAGAATTGGCCTCTTGCAACACTATTATTGTGTACATTTCATGTTCATAAGGCGATATGGCGTTGGATACTCACTAGCAAAAATGGAGTTCCCTGAAACGATGCCCAAAACTATTTTGTACGCAACAACACTAAATGAACACAAAGCAGCAAAAGAAAAGTTCTTGTGTGTGATTGTGAGCATGAGGGTTTTAAAGAATATATATGCCAAACGTATGTCAATCAAGAACAAATATGGTGTATTTTTTACAGAATAAATTTGCCACTGCGAGGTAGTGATACCAATAACTACACCGAGGAAATGTTCCGTTTGTTAAGGGGCATACCCCTGGAAAGAGTTTAATGAATTATATCTGTCGGGTAAAAAAACTTGTTTGAAAACATTTTTTTGATTTAGTAAATTTAGAAAGCGTCCGAAAATATACCTTTTATGTCATCAATTGATTTTCTTTCATTTTGCTATTCACCTCAAGTTCCTGCTGTTCTTCTAAACTCACTGATAAAAATGGCTGATCGTTTTTTAAATCCAAAATTGTTGGACAAATCCTGTAAATTATTCTACTATAATTATACTTTCAATAAAAACAAATGTTCTAGTTTCTAAGATTATTGTCCAACATTCTGCTATAACTGTTATAGTTATTAACACAATTTTTTTGTGGAAACAAAATATTGCGACACATACCTTTATAATTTATTAATTGATTACCTTACTACTAGTATTAACGCCTTAAATAACTGGCGCGTTAGTCTGACATGTCTGTTATACACAAACCTACTTCGGCTGATAACACGTCAGGTATTTTCGAATATGCGTCCGGGCAGAGAACCAGAACGAAACTATCCGAAAACATTCAAATCAATTTCTTCACAAGCCCAGTTTACATTCACAGATAGTTGATACAGGTTCAAGTAGAGTACATTCATGTTTTCAAAAGGTGCAGTTTCTTACATTTTTATCGAAAGGTGACTTGTTTCTGTTTTTGTAAAACAGGTATCCGAAGGCTAATCCCACTATGCTTCCGATGAAGTTTCCTTGAAAACTTTTCGATTGGTGGTGCCACTGATTATTATGCAAAACCATCTTCAACAAGTAAAGTTTCCTGAAATTAAAATTCTTCCATCAGTAAATATTATGGATTTAATACTAATTACGTCGTTTGTTTGAAGGTGATTGACAATGTTTCATGATGAATTTCACTAGTTCGGACTTCCATTGTCTACTAGATAAAATGATTTGAAATCCCTGAAACTGGTTCCCCAAGGACCTATCTTCCGACTTTACCTGATATACAGTGAGGTCCTAAAGTAACGAATAAATTAATTTTCTACGTAAATATGAATGCAAACAGAAAATCATCGAACAGGTCAGTTTTTGTATATGAAAATAAATTTTCACAATGAAATTATTCAACCCCGTGGGAAGTACGTCTGTAAAAATGTTCAATTAGAAGGGATAGCGTGTGCTACCTCATTCACACGAGTTTTCAATTCTTTATTCAGCCTTACAGTACTTTTTGATTTTTGCACTTACATAATCAGGAAATGAGTAACTTTATTTCATACAAACAAACATCTCTAGAATCAAATACCTATCACGATTGATTAGTCTATTAATTATCTTGTTATCAAAAAAGTAACATCGGTATCCAACTCCAAAAATCGAAAATTGTTAAATTCCTTAATTGAGATTTGAAAACACTTCCAGTCGCGGTATCACAGGCTAACCTTTTTCATTCAAAACTTTCACAGAAATAACTTTCATCCAAGGGGATGAAAGGGACCGTTGGATAATTTCACTGAAGAACTGTATTGTCATTTATGAATTTTAACTTGTTTGCATTCATAATTACATAGAAAATGAATTTAACTGCTGAATTAGGATTTTACTATACAGGGTGTTCCATATCAGACGAGCCACCCCCTGTATTACTTATCCCATAGTGAGTGGAAAAATTTCCCGAAACACGTAAAATGATTTTGTTTGGGTGACATCTTTTAAGGTATATTTTAGGCTTGAACGAGCAACCCCCTAATAGGGGGCTCTTCTTCCCCTCAAACTTGAATAGAGGAAAGGGGTTGAGTGATACTATATTTGAAAGGTCTTGGAAGCCTATTTACAACGGTGAATTCAAAACGTGAATTTGATTAATCGTTTTCGCCAAAAATCAATTTTGCAGCTCGAATGAGCCACCTTGAATAATTTGGTTACTTTTACATGTACAAGCCCATTTTTATTAAGCCCTTTTTACAAACTTAAACAATCTTCAAAAAATCACATTCTTGAAAAAATTGAATTGTTTTATCATCATGCTTACATTCAAAAAAATCAAATCTGCGTGTTTAATCAAATGTTCAAATTGTCCTCCATTGACTTCCATACAATAATACAATCTTGACTGAAAACCGTCTCTGATATGGTTCAGTATAATTGGAGTTATTTGACGACACTCATTCACAATTCTTTGACGTAGTTCGTTCAAATTTTCAGGGTGTCACAAAAATCTTGGACTTGAGATGTCCACATAAGAAAAAGTCCAGAGGGCTTAAGGTCAGGAGATCAGGCAGGCCACTCCATAGGACCTCTTCTTCCAATCCAACGACCGGGGTATTGCAAATTGAGGTATAGACGAACTGATGCGGCGTAGTGCGGAGGAGTTCCGTCTTGTTGGAAATGCAATTGTTGTTCAAGTAGTAGAGGATCGTTTACTAATCGTTCAGTTATTAACGGATCAATCGCATTTTCCAGCATTTCAAGAGAACGTTCGCCAGTTAAATTACTAGGAATAAACAGAGGTCCAATTAGGTGGTCTCCCAAAATTCCTACCCAAACGTTTAGCTTTTCTGCATGTTGAGTGTGAGCTTCTCAAAATACATGAAGATTTGTTTTGCTCCAAATTCTACAGTTATGGCGGTTAACCTCTCCATTAAGTGAAAAAATGCATTCGTCAGAAAAGCAAACGTTGTAAAATAAATTTGGGTTGTTGTTGATACGCTCGGCCATAATTTCGCAAAACTCTTGCCTTCGATCCCAATCATCATCATTCAATTCGTGAATTAATTCAATTTTGTACGGATGAAACTTGTGTCTATGTAAAATTCTGAAAATGTTAGATTGACTAATACCGGAAATTGCAGCTAGTTGTCGAACAGATAGCGTGTTTGGCAGCTGCTCCTTCATCATTCACAATTCCAATGGGTGCCCTTTTTTTATCCATTACTGAACCCGTCTCCACAAATTTTGAAATCAATTCCAGTACGTACTTATGGCGAACGCTACGTTCAGGATGGTTTTGGTTTAATATCTTTGCAGCCGCTCGGACACAATTTTGTTTCTGGTAATGAAGGCTAACCAGCTCAACACGTTCTTGCAATGTGTACACCATATTTTTTGAAATTTTAAACGAATCAGCAAAGTAGTAACTCAACAGATTGATTTCAATTCTGAAATGATCGAAGAAACGTTACAACTAGATAATCACCTTCTAAGCACAAAAAATTAAGGCAAGATAAGGAAATGTTTTGCTGTTTATTTTTATTTACTAGTTTGAGAGAAAGTATTATTGAATGGAAGTCAATGGAGGACAATTTGAACATTGGATTTAAATACGCGGATTTAATTTTTTCGATTGTAAGCATGATGATAATACAATTATGTAATTTTTTGACGATTGTTTGAGTTCGTTAAAAGAGCTTAATAAAATGGGCTTGTATATTGTAAAAATAACCAACTTATCCAAGGTGGCTCATTCGAGCTGCAAAATAGATTTTTGGCAAAAACGGTTCATCAAATTTACGTTTTTCATAAACCGTTGTGGAAAGGCTTCCAAGAGACCTTTCAAATAAAGTATCACTCAACCCCTCTACCCTATTCAAGTTTGAGGGGATGAAGAGCCCCCTATTAGGGGGCTGCTCGTTTAAGCCTAAAATATACGTCTGAGATGGAACACCCTGTATATAAATCCAATAGCTGACCTGTTAGTATGTTTGCTGATTATACTCCCTTGATATATCCACAGGAAATAATTTACGAAAAATGAAAAATGAAATGCTTTCTGATTTCAATGAAATTTCATCATAGCTAAAGTTACCATTTATTAGATTATTGAAAATCATCTGTGATATTTATCACAGAGAAATGTTCATCTAATGATTCAAAACAGCCTATTGAGTATCATAATGAAAGTTGTTTTCAATTACAAAACACAAACACTACAGGAAAATTCTTAAGGCGCTCTGAGAGCAGTGCTTGTGTGAAAGTTGTGATTCACATTGGATTTGAATCGCTGGAGATTAAATCCATTTGAAAAAACGTTCTCAGGAAGTTTATTCCACATAAACCCAGTTCTCCAAATGAAAGAGTTCCAAAACAATGAAGTTCGAATTGAACCTCGAAACGATGAGCAGCCACAGTCCGTCGCGTATTTCTGATACGTAGTTGCCGCTCTTGATGGAAGCAAATATTTCAAGTCACTTGAACACTTCCCGTGAGAAAGAATTTATGGAAGAGGGACAAATCTCCTACTTTTCTTCGATGTTCAGAACTATCAAGGTTGCAAGTGATGTTCGCGTCTCCAATCAGGCGGATGGCTCTTTTCTGGATGGAACCCAGCAGCTTCAGGGTATGCTTAGGGGCGTAGCTCCATACATGAGAACAATACTCCAAAGAAGGTATGATCTGAGTTGCTGAGGTGTGTATAGTTTTCTGGTTCGGAACAGAGTTTCAAGCTTTTCAGAAGCAGCCTTTGCAGTTCCAGCGACGTGATTGTGCCGAAATATATTGTTGTCCATTTCAACCCCCAACAAACTTATCGAACCAGAAAGCGGAATTGTCTGACCTGACTTTATTATATCCGGTTTGGAGACATTTATCTCCTTGGAGAAAATCGATGCCTGGGTATTTGTGGCATTGAATTGAACCTAGGTACTTGTAGATCCTCATTAGGATACGCAACCTCCTGTGGTCGGTGAAAATGTGCGCATCTTCAGCTGATGTTCTGGAATCCAAGTGGAATGACGAGACAAGTGTGCTGTCGTCAGCACCTCCTTGAGGTGTTAAAAATAACGATTTGGTGTTGGGAAAAAACTCCAGTAATATTCATTACTACACCAAAGGTTCCAAACAGTGCATCATAAGACCATTATTGATGGTAAAAGTATTCGAGAGATATCCATCGACGGCCACTTGTAGGGAACATTCTTTCAGGAAGCTAGAGACCCACACACAAAAATGATCCGATAAGCCATATCATCGAAGTTTGGCCAGCAAACCCTCATGCCACACACGGTCAGAGACCTTAGAAATATCAAACGCAACAGCTCTTGACTCTCCATGTTTCTCGATTGCGTTATTCCAAATATGGGTGACCGTGTTAGGAATCACACGTTGAAAGGTAAGACCTCGTTAATCCTTAGCTCGCACAGTATCGGTTTTGATAGGAGTTTTGGACTCAATCAGGAGTTGAGTTAGAATATCTTTCTCAGAACTGTCTCCATTTTCAGCTCCAAGAAGGTAAGCGACAGACTGAACTTTAGTTTGATAAGCTGAGTACGATAAGGAATCAAGTCATGCCAGATTCATTGTTGAAGGTTATTCGTAAAGGTAGCTAAACACTTCATTACCATCTTAATCAGATTTTCAGTTTAGAAAAAAGAGTTCCTATACTCACTCTGGAAGTGGTAAAATGAGGCCTTCGTAGTCTTCAACGTAGTTATCGAGAAATGTAGCTACAACCGCAATGCTGAATAGTGAACCAAGGATGGGCCATACTAATCTCTCATTTTTCTTCAGAATCCACACTATTGGTAACATTATTATGAAATATTGAGTGTCCGAAGCCATGTACCATGTATGGGTTAAACACTAAAAAAACAATCGATTAATGAGATCATAAAACGTGTTGAACGAGCGAGAAACGGGGTCATTACTCTTGATAATAATGTTGCACAGTGAATCATTTGAGCAAATAATGGCCACGAAATGAAGTACTATACTTTTTCTATGACACAAACAAAAAAACCAGAAAAATCATTCAGGAAAGATATGTCAAATCCTAGTATCAAATCAAATCAAAGAGATTGAACCCAGGACCACTGGCACTCAAGTTTAATGTTTTAATAACTACTCCAAGAAGAAGCGCACAAGTTAATGTAATATAAAGGTATTCGAGTTTTTGATTACTTTTACTTCACATTACAAATTTTTGGTGGCTTATACTTGTTTTTCATCAGAAACTATATATTTCAAAACGAAATATCGGTTCAATGAATGAATTTGACGTTTGAGAACATAACTGTACAAGTATGGACAGGACAGAGGTCCGACATCGATGAGTCAACCAGGCACTTCCCAAAGGCGAAAAAAAAAATCAAAAAAGGATCATGGTTACTGTATGGTTGAGAGAAGGAAATAATGAGAGCAGATAGTTGTTTTCACAGATGGATAAAAAACACCTTTCGGTTCTGGTGCAGGTGTTTTCAGTCGCAGACCTAGGACAGAGATATCAATCTGCCTAGGAACCTATGTGACTGTATTTCAAGAGAAAATTTACTATTGAAATGTGTGCGGAGAGAGTAGAAGAATCCAACCTTATACACAAGTCATTAAAAATATTCTCGGACAGTCAAGTGGCGTTGGAAGCTCTTGGCTCCTACCGAGCAACGTCTAAATTGGTAGCAAATTGCCAAAAACGGCTCTCCTCGATAGGAAGACTCAACAGATTGGTTCTGAACTGGATTCCTGGTCATACTGGCCTAAAAAATGATGAGGCTGCTCACTCTCTTGCAGAAGAGGGTACTGCGAACAGCTTCATCAGACCAGAACCTGTTATTGGCATCGCTTTAGGCTTAGCCAAGCAAAGATTGAACACCTGGATGGCAAGAAGATTTATGGACTTCTGGCAGAATCTTCCAGGACTGGTTCACCCCAAGGCGTTTATTCACCCTCGAAACTTGATTTCAAACAGTTGTTGGACTATAGTAGGAATGAACTACGATGTTTAATAGGCCTTTTTACAGGTTAATCATCATATGCAGAGACTCGGACTGTCGGAAGGCAGTGTGTGTCGCCTATGTTAGGAAAATGATGAAACAGCAGAGCACATACTTTGTGTCTGCCCCGCTGGATACCGAATCAGGCTTTTAGAGGTCGGTAAAGCCGTACTCTTACCATCTGACCTCAAAGGCCACTCACCATACAAACTAATCGGCTTCGTTCAGAAGCTGGGTTCATTTGGTCGGGTGTGAATAGGTGTGAGCCACAATAAACTCTTGTGGGTTGCAGTGAAGGGTCGAATAGGCCCACTCACTTTACACCTAACCTAACCTACAGTATGGTGGTTAGCAGATGGTGTGATCTACTATAAAATTCTGCAACCCTATCAAACCAACACAGCACTATCCTATCGTCAAAAAATCAAACAACCTCTCGCCAACCAAGTACCTTCTTTTAAAGCACTTCGATAACTTCCTCAACAGTAGAAATTTTACCAATCAGGACCAGGCAAAAACGGCTTTTGTCGACTTCATCGAATCCCGAGCACTCAATTTCCATGCCAACGGAATCAATAGACTTGTGTCACGTTGACAAAAGTGCACTTAATAGAAATCAGACAAAAGTTTTTTTTTATCCTATATTCAATATGAATTTTCACTAAATAAATAGGTCATCAATCGAACAAGTTGCATTGAAGGTATTATAAAAACTGTCAAGCATATTAGTGACATGGGTAGCACGAGTTTCTCAGGGGAGGGGTTTGTCCCCGCTGTTTTGAAACTCTGTAACCTATATACCAAGTTTCAGCCCAATATCTCATACAGTGCTTTAGTTATACGATGACAAATTCCCAAAGTCATGATTTTTTCACTGACCCTGAATAACAAACTATACACTTCAAAGGAAAGGTGAAGTAGCCATTGAAATGAGAAACAGATGAAATATTTTTTGATTTTTGGTATAATGAATAGTCAATCAAAGATTATAAAAATACCCCTTTATTGTATTCTTTTTTTAAACATTTGTCTCAACCAGGTGACAAATTTCGGCAAAATTCATATGATTGGATCAATAAGCTAGGCACGGTTTTTCATAGCATGCTATGAAATTAAGTTGTTTCTTGTTTCGTTGTTATAATTTTGACAGTTAGGTATCCTTGAATGCTTTCCACGAGTATTTGGTGAAGACAGTTATAAAAGAGTTTTGCGAGTTTTCAAAATGATAAATCTCAACTTAGTCGAATTTTCCGATTGTTTGAGACTGTTCTCTGAAGAAGAATAAGATAATAATACATAACCTCATTTCAGTTTTCGTTTTCAGACTTTCAAAGAATTGAAAGTTTTATTTCAAACATGGAAACCTTTCTTTTGTTGAATCTTGAAATCTAATATTTGAAATAGTCCAAGTATTGGAAATAACCAACTAGAAATCAACTTGCCATTTCAAGTACGAGTATTAGACCACGCCCATTAGCCATACCTGTAAGAAGGCCAAGGCCTTCTAGATTTAATGATGCTATTCTTTACAAGCGCAACCTCTAGTGGTCGAAAATTCAAATTTTCACTATGTTGGTGCTATTCAAACTTCAAATCAAAGAGTACACCACTTCGAATACATTAGTATATTTCAGTAGATTTTCGATGACACCGTAGGTAGATTTCTCAAATAAAATGTGGTCACGCTGGTGGCCGCGGAAGAACTCGACAGAAGACATCTAGATCGTGAACCAATTCACTATACAACCGTCTCCAGGATCAATACGTTATTCAATAGAACCGGGAGATTAAATGAAATACATGTACTGAGACAAAGAGGGAATGTATAGATAGACGAATTTTAGAGTATGTTCAAGAACACCCGAAAAATAGCTTGCGGCAGTTTTCACGAGATTTACACGTTTGTATATCTGAAATACGCACATGTTTGAAAAAAAATTAAGTTATTTGCTTCGAACTGAAAATGATGCACACGTTAGAAAGAGGCGATAAGGAACGAGGGTTGGAATTCTGTTTATTCTGCCAAGGTGAATATTTCAATAATTATAACTTTCTGGGTGATATTCCCTTCACCGATGAGGCGACATTCACCAATAACGGTACAGTGTCCACTCAGAATTCCAGGTACTAGGCAAGGGAGAATCTACACTGGATGATGAATGCAAAAAGACAATATTCACAAAAAATCAGTGTCTGGGTAGAAATATTCAAAAACCGTATTTGAAGTCCAGTGTTTTTTGAAAATACACTTAACAGTGGAGGATTTAGCAATATTTTGATAAGGAAAATCTTGGATTTCATGGAAGAACTAAGCATTGAAGAACGCAGAAATGTTATATATCAGCTGGATGGTGCCTCCATTCACAATGTGATTGCTGTGTCGAAATATCTTGTTGAAAACTTTCGAGGAAGATAGATTGGAAGGAACAGCCATTTTATTTGTTGGTCCCCTCGATCACCAGACCTGACTCCATTAGATTTTTATTCTGTGGGGATATTTGAAAAAAAGTGTTTATAGAAATATACCATGAAATTTTAACGAATTGAAGGAGAGCATAAGGTGGAGAAATAACACCAGGCCAATTGAGGAAGTTCTGCCACAATTTGAGACCATTTTATGAAAAATGTATAGAGCTTGAAGGAGGATGTATTGAAAACTCCAATATCTGAAGAATCTGCTCCATTTATCATTTAATTTATTTCTGGTGGTGGTAATTTTTCTAAAATTAAAAATACTTTTTCAACTTTTGATTTGTTGATTTCAATCAAACCAGAGGCAACTACATGAAAATCCGTTCCGTAGTTTTTCAGTTTATCACAGACAGTTTATCGCAGTAACTTTGTGTATTGATTCAGCTCAAAATGATTGAATGCCGTTACCTTATGTTTGAAAACTTTTGTGAATATATGGTTTGGAAGGGTATAGGATTATACTCATCAAGGATTTTTGAAGTTTCACGTATCATATTTGTACTGTCTACAAAATTATTCACGTAAAGCAAGTTTGTCCACCAATTTTTTCTACACCTGATGAATTGTGTGTCGATGAAATCGCTCCAAATAGGGCCATTTCCCAAATGACGAAACCATGTTGAGGAAAAGGCAATTGCACTGGCAAGCGCTCTGGAGTTCGAGGCTGCAAAACAATCCTGCAAGAGGCAGAGCAAAGTTCGAGCTATCGAGGAAGATGGACAAGTGCCTGCAGATATTGAGGCCACCATCAGAAAAGTAATGAAAGAAGTTTTGCCTGAGAGAAAAAATATAAGATGCTGGAACTGTGGGAAAATTGGACATGTACGTAGCAAATGTCCAGCTTTCAAATCAGGAAAACTAGAGGGGGTCAATGAGAGGGGGCAATCGTCGGCCTCTACCCAGCAAGCCCCCGTAAAAAAACGCATATGTTGCCGTTCTTCAACAACGAGCCTTGCACCATGCTGCTGGATACAGGTGCGACGAGAACCATTCTTGGGCCAACCTTTGCCAAAACACCGGCAAGAATTGAACCGTCAAGCTGGAAGCTACGCACCGCCATAGGGGAGCCAGCCACTGTTTTTGGAGAACTACCAATTGAATTGGTGTTGGGCAGCACTAAATTGAAACATCGAGCATTGGCGGCGGACATCGAGAAGGATGCGATTATTGGAATGGACATAATGAATTCCAGAGGGTTCGAGCTGAATTTTCAAGACGGCGTCCTACGTGTCGGCGGAGAAGAGCTGGTGCTTCATGGAAGAAGCGAAGAGATGATTAGACTCCTGTTGGCCTGAGAGGGCTGAAACCATACTAGAGGCTCGCTTGGACGGAGGTGCGAGCAGCGGAAATGTGGTAATGTTCGAACCCAAGATACATGACGAGAAAATTGGACGAGGAATCGCACTGGGGAAGACCCTCATGCGTGTTGATAAAGTTGTGCCGGTCAGGGTCATGAATGTCAACTACTTTCCCGTGACCTTGAAGAAGGGAACAATTCTGGGGCACTGCTCGTCCATTTCCTCGGTGATACGGAGTGTACGCAGTTCGATCAGCCAAGCCAACAACTTGCCTAAAGAGTTGGAGGAGTTGATTGACATTTCCTCCAAGGACACACCACCAACTCACCGATCAAAACTGAGGGAGTTAGTCAAGAAGTACCAGGAAATCTTCGACATTGGAGAAGGAAAAGGCGGCAGAACGAATGTGGTTCAGCATAGAATCGACACTGGGTATGCCCGACCAATCCGGCAATCAGCTAGAAGACTCCCTCTTGCCAAGAGAGAAGAGGCAGACAAGATAGTCAGCGATATGGGAGAAGAAGCAGTCATCGAACCTTCTGACAGCCCCTGGTCCTCCCCAGTCGTGTTAGTGAACAAGAAGGACGGCTCGACAAGGTTCTGCGTGGATTATCGCCAACTAAATCACGTGACGAAGAAAGACAGCTACCCTCTTCCAAGAATCGACGACACCCTAGACACGCTGGCCGGCTCCACAATTTTCTCGACTTTGGATTTGAAGAGTGGATATTGGCAAGTTGAATTGGCCCCAGAAGATCGAGAAAAGACAGCTTTCACCATCGGCTCAGGATTGTGGCAATTCACGGTTATGCCACTCGGGCTTTGTAATGCTCCAGTGACCTTCAAGAGATTGATGGAAACGGTTTTCAAGGGGCTCTCATGGAAAACATGTCTAGTGTATCTCGACGATATAATCGTGGTCGGAAAATCGTTCGACGATCACTTGAAAAATCTGGAGGAGGTGGTCATGCGCCTGAGAAGTTCTGGATTTAAACTTAGTCCCAAGAAATGCCATCTGTTCCAGAAATAAGTCCGTTACCTTGGCCACGGTGTCTCTGGGGATGGAGTGGCAGTGGACGAACAAAAGATCAAAGCAGTTAAGGATTGGCCTATTCCAAAAGACATACATCAGCTTCGGAGCTTTCTTGGTTTATGCACCTACTACCGCAGGTACGTACTGGGTTTTGTCAATATCGCCAAACCATTGACCCGACTCACAGAAGGGCAGATCCAGTTCCAGTGGTCTGAGGAATGCCAAGTTCATTTTAAATACGGATGCCAGCAACATGGGACTTGGAGCAGTCCTTTCTCAGATCCAGGATGGGCAGGAGGAAGTTATTGGCTATTTCAGCAAAACGCTCAGTAAACCAGAGCGCAATTTTTGTGTCACCAGGCAAGAGCTGTTGGCCGTTGTCACAGGTGTAGAACATTTCTACAAATACGTGTATGGAAGAAGATTTCTGTTGAGAACGGACCATGTGGCTCTCAAATGGCTTCTGCAGTTCAAAAATCCTGAGAGCCAAGTAGCGCGCTGGATTGAGAGACTACAAGAATTTGACTTCGAAATAGAATAGCTGGGACTAGTCATAAAAACGCAGATGCCCTATCATGGAGACCATGCCCCGATGACTGCTCAGATTGCCGACGAGCAGAAGAGAAGAAAGCGGCTATTTGTAGAACTAGAGCTGTGGACGACAACTGGGAGGATTATAAGATCAAGGAAGACCAAGAGAAAGACCCAGATCTTGGTTTAGTTATCGGATGGAAGAAAAGTAACCGAAGACCATCGTGGCACGAGATAGCAGGTTATTCGCCAGCGGTTAAGTCCTACTGGGCACAATGAAACTCCCTCACCATGGAAAACGGGGTTCTGAAGCGGGTGTTGGAGTTTGAAGACGGTGCAGAAGGCGCCAGACAGTGGTACCCAGGAGCAGACGACGGGATGTGCTCAAAGAAATCCATGACGGAGTCACTGGAGGACATCTGAGAGTAACGAAAACCCTCCAGAAAGTCAGACAACGGTTTTATTGGGTTAATTGTCAAGCCGACGTCAAGGACTGGTGCAGAAAGTGTGCTGTATGCGCTGCCAGTAACGGACCTAGGATACGACCGAAAGCTCCAATGCGCCAGTATAACGTGGGTAGTCCTTTCGAGAGAACCGCCATCGATATCGCCGGCCTAACTGTTGACCGGAGAGGAGTGAAATTGTGAAATCTTGTTCTAGAGATTCGTGCAAGTTATTGGCGCGGTAAGTATTATTGGTTTTCGTCTAATCCATATTATTTTATAACTATAGGTTCGTAAAAGTATGTAATTTCATTGCATCACATCTGATTTTCTGTTAATGGCTCCCATTACCCCATTATCCTAATGTTTATTTCAGATTCCCAGGACGTGGAAGAGAAAAACCGATAAGGGTTTGTGGACATCAGAAGACCTCCAAAAGGGTGCTAGGTTGGTGGCTAATGAAATGAGTATAAGAAAAGCAGCTCTTCAATGTAATATCCCCTACCAAACCTTCCAGAGAAGATTAAAGAAGGCAACTTGCAGTATTCGGCGCAATTAGGCAGACGTCCTTGTTTTACATTCGAACAAGAAAAAGAAATGGCTGCCCATCTAATTAAGCTCTCTAACATGTTCTATGGTTTATTTAGATGGCAATTTTGTGGCCTTGCCTATAGATGCGCAGAAAATCTTAAGATAAAGCATCGATTCAATACCCAGAAGCAGCTAGCTGGAAGAGACTGGTTGGAAGGTTTTTTGAAACGAAATCCTACCATTAGTGTCCGTAAGCCCGAAGCCACGAGTATCAATCGTATCAAAGGTTTCAACAAAACAGAAGTCACACGATTCTTTAAAAATCTTGAAGCAGTTATGTCCTAATATAAATTTCAAAAGTCGAATATATATAATATGGATGAGACCGGCATCAAGAACCAGAAAACATTTTAGCAAAAAAAGGGCATAAAAGAATGGGTTCAGCAACTAGTTGGGAACGTGGCAAAAATATTACCGTAATTTGCGCCATGAGTGCTGTTGGATCATATGTGCCACCTTTCTTTTTGTTTCGAAGAAAACGATTTTCACCATTACTAGCTAAAGGCGGACCCGCTGATGCAGAATATCAGATCACATCCAATGGCTGGACCAACGATGAGATGTTTCTGTTATGGCTGAAGCATTTTGTTAAATTCACAAAACCGAGTCAAGATCAACCAGTTCTGCTAGTGCTAGACAATCATTCTAGTCACGCAACACTTGTTTTCCAGATTTTCTAACAGCTAGAGCTCATGTGTTTGCCACCTATCTTTGATTGAAAATAATAATGTTTAACAAAGAAAATATAGAGTTGATAAGAGTTTCAGCCTAAACAACGATATTCTCATAGTAGTATTGACTCAACTTTTCCATTCACCAACCGACTGAAATGAATGCATTACTGAAAACCACACCAAAATCGATTAGTCTGTTTTTTAAATTAGCGCATTTCAACGCACGGACAAGCAGACAAATACTTTCATTATATGAATTGATATTGATGAAAAGAACTACATACCTAATATATCTACTGATGACAGCTCCGACTAGATCTTTCAACTTCAATTCTCTCTTCTCAAATTGCGAGAAAAGTCCATACATCACAAAAAAAGCGGACGTGAAAAAAAATAAGGACATTATTAGGCAACCGTTTGACAATAGTACAGATACTGCCGTTCCTGGAATCTGAAAAAAATTGTAGTAGTTAAAATCAACTTGCTATGAATGAACGTTTGACATCAATTGTTTTCAACAAAAACAATTCTGAGTAGAACGATAAGAAATGCCAGTGATATATCATTTGTATTTAAAGTCAAGCTTCAACATCAGTCAACTTTGGAAAACAGAGTTTTGGTTTTCTGTCGATCCTAAAGAGGGCGTCGCCATGAAGTGATCGTCATGCTCATTTCTGAAACTTCTTACGAAATACAATAGAACAATATTAAATCCTCCCCAAAATATGTTTGATGGAGAACTTAGTCCTATTGAACATCCAACTGCCTGATTGGAAACTTCCGGAAATAACATAATTTCGGAATGAAATCATTTCCTGAAAATCAACTTGATCAATGTACATTTGAGGGATTCATAAAACTTCATTTGGGAGCTCTACATCATACCTCTCATGGACATTTCATTTTCGCATTTATTATTCTCTAGTAGGTATATGATTGTTTTTATAATGCAAGTAAACGATGTAGTGGAACCTACCTAGTGGAACAGTTCCTCTTTAATAATATAGTTGGGGAGCTAACTAATTTTGTTTATAATAGATGAGTGGGAAAGTATGGACTCAAATAACAGAGTGATGATTGAAAATACTTCTGAATACTACTTACTTACATATATTTATATACAAAATCGATCGCTTCAAAAACACTTATCCAACTTTTTTTGAAAGCTTCTGATAATTCCTCTTCCATATTCTCTGTTTCACTATTACTGTCGTCATATAAATCAATAATGAGTTCATTTCCATCGTTAGTATGATGATGATGGAAGTGTCCAATCTCCATATAGTCTTTTTCAACTAAAATTACTTTTTCAATCCTTTTCTGCCAGTCTTCTTCGGTAATATTCAACTAGCTTTATTACTTTCTTATCAAATTTTAGAAAATTATTTTTACGCCTGATGCTTTGTTTCAATTTTCCCAAAATCAACTCGATGGGATTGAAAACACAAAAATGGGTGGAAGTCCCAGTATGATGTGTCTGTCCATACTTTTCAGCAATACTCTCAAGGGCATACACTTTTTCAAATGTTTTTGTCTGTAAAACTTCAATTAGTTGGTTTTTAGCCTAGTTATCTTCAAAATACAAATTTCTATCCATTACAAAAGTGTGTATATCATCTTTCGTTGAAATTTTATTCGGTACTTTGATGAGCTGTCGCGAATGAGAGGAAACGTTGTCAAGAACTATTATACTATTCGCATCCAAATTTGGGATCAATGTGTTTTCAAACCATTCCTCAAAAAAATTAGCTTCCATGTTCTTATGATAGTCAACATTGCAGTCCTCAAGTTTTTTTCCACATAATTTCAAAAAATTCGGAACCTATTCTTCTCTTCCTCCTCCCCAATACACAATGATTAGTCGCGATCCTTTGTTTGCGGGCATGTTAGGCGTACACATTCCCGAACCATCAGTCCACCCTTTCGTAACTGTGTCGTGAGTTTCATACCAAGTTTCATCCAAATAGAAAATTTGCCGTTGTTCTTGTCTATATTCAGTTATTTGTTCTAAGTATTTGTCACACAATTCCACTATTCTTATGCTTTCCATAACTGCTTGACGTTTGTTTATTATTTTAAACCTAAATCCTAGTTTCTTTATCCAATTCTGAAGAGTTTTGCCACAGCAGCTTACGTTATTGCCGGATGTATTCAATTTCTTCCTAATGATTTCACTTTTAGAAATCTCATTGCTTTTGTAACAGTGGTATATTGTTTTTCTAATGTTGATGATTTCGTTTCCCTTGAAACTAAACTTGATATGCAGATTCTTATATACATTGAAACATACTCAAATGCATCCAAATCTTATTCACTGGTATATTTTTTTCGCATTGTTCACCATCGCTATTGAAATCACTATACAAGAAAAAGTCTGCGTTGTTATCACACTCGTTATTACTATTAGTACTTCTCCAAGGACGCCACATTTTAAACAGATAACAAAAATTTTAAGTAATTATAACTGCACCAATATCGAATTTCAACACTCAAATCGCGATCAGTTCCTAAACTGAACATTGACAACAACCGGGTATAAACATCCTCGCATTCTATTCGTCACCGTAACATGACTTCAAATTCAATTTTATGACTCTTCAGCCTATCATAAAACTCGGTTAGTAAAAATTATCCAATACGAACCGCCAATTCTTCAGTCCACGCGGATTAGTTGGCAGCGGCATCATTTCTTTGTATTGGTTTTTTTGACCTGTGAGCTCGCCGACAGCTTTAACTATTAACAATACCGGTTACTTCGACTATACAATGAGCGATGAATATTAGAATGAGATGGCTGATAGTTATCGTCAAAGAAGTTTCTCATGGTGAGATTTTATTGATTTGGAAAAACATTACCAGTCCATTCCACCAGGACTAAAAACTATAGAACGAGTGTGTTGGGTTGAACTTTGGAACGTCGAGCAGCTATATTTGGCTATCTTCTTCTGGTATAAACTGCTCTTGGTGAAATCAAGCGGTCCAAATCAGTTGAAATCTTTTGATGTTTTGAGCTATTGAGGTTACTTGTCATGTTTGAGACTACAATCAAGAGCAGTCTCAAGATATGCTCGGGAGTGGAGTTCCATGCATGTGAGCAATATTTCAAATCCAGTCTGATTCGAGCGTGATGAAACTCTAGAAGTTATTGAAACGCTTAAAATTGAGCTCAAAGTTTCTGAGAAGCTGACTTCGCTATACCAGTAACGTGATTATGACAAGACCTAATGGTATCCAATTTCATAACCAACAAATTGATCAGCGCAAGTAGCAGCATTGCCCTGACTTCATGATGTCCGGATCCACCATATTGATCTTCCAGATCCTCATTGAGATATAAAACGCTAGCTTCTTGCCCAGGATGTGCATCGACAATTGATAGTCGAATATATTTACTATACTTCGACTATCTTTATTATCATCATCAGGTATGCTACAATATGGATAAGAGAACATATTATATGTATCAAAAGAGATCAGTCAAAAACACAACTTACAGTTCATGTGAGGTTAGGCGGCAAGATGATTAAAATGTGAACACAACATATATAGGTGTAGAGACCAAAAAATAACCACAGGAATTTTCTTAATTATTTGTGTTTGTCTTTAACTTCCGGAGGTTACTTTTTGGTCTCTACATCTATTGTTGTGTTCACATTTCAATCCTGCAGCCTAACCTCACACACACACTGTAAGTTGTGTTATTGAGTGATCTCTTTTAATAGATCTAATTTGTTTTTTATCCATACTGTAGTATCCCTGATGGTCATAGTGAAGATTGTGAAAAGCTTGGAATGTATGTTATAAAAATACATGTTTTGGCCTGCTGAACACCCAAATATTGTTTCACTCATCCTCATTTTTCAGGAAAAATAAAAAAACACGTCAACTATAGGTTTTCAACTAAAATAATTTGTAGCTCCCGAACCATAAGCTTCAGACCATATGTTTTATACTTTATTAAAATCTGCTCATCATGAAGCATCGGATAATGCGAAACAATATAGGGTGATCCATTTAAAAAGAAATGGAGACATGCTCTTGGGGGGTGCGATAGGGGAAGTAACATCAACTATGTACTATGGTTGACGTATTTTTTTATTCTTCCTACGATTCATTGTACCAAAAATAATTGTACCAGCGTTAATTGCAAGGTATTGACAAGAAAACTATCAATGCCATAGAAAAGTCAAGAACAAAGAAGAATTGCCAAGCTATAACATCAAAGTTCAATTAGTAAACTATCATGCAAGACACGGTTGAATGCCTTGAAAATATTGCATGTATTACATTGGAACGAATGTGAGTAACTCATGTAAGAACATAGTCCGTTGACCTTGGCTTCCAGAAACCTGTTCATGATCGCTTGAGATATTGGAGCAGTCCGTATATTGAAGAATGTGTCGACTACCTGCTTTCTTCACATTTTCTGATATAACCAACAGTAAAGTAACTGGTTTATGGTTTTTTAAAACATCATTCTTGCTATATTTAGGTGTGGGTGATTTCCAGCGGTTTTCCAACGAGAAGGAACCCCTTTTTCGTAAGACAAAACTGATACAAGTTCATTGGTGCATTTTTTGAGTAGACAAGAACTTTATCAGGACCAGGTTTGTTGATATTGAGCTGTCCATCTGATAATAAACAGTCGAAAATTAATATCTGGCATTGGGGATTGTACAGGGAGAAGAGTGGTCGGCATTTTTCTTTGAAAGCCAATTGTAGTTTTGGATGCAGAGTGTACAGCTACTAAATTCGTTGTTTCTATCGCTGCTGTTGGTACTGAACCGTCCGCTGTTGATGATTATGACATTGTCTTGGTGAAATATTCACTAACTGCATTACTCTTCGACCAGAAAGATTTCGAACAATTAGTTCAGCAAGAGGTTTTTTCTAACCCCCATATATATTTGTGCTCAAAAGTCAAGAGAAGAATGATGAAGAAATAATAATGTGAATATTCGAAAAGTATTGTTACCCCAGAAAGACATTACTGAATTAATCGTTCTTGGCCTCAAGCACATAAAAATCTACAGTATCAGACGGCACTTAATTAACAGTTGTTGACATCAGTCTTCTCCAAGTTGTTCAACCCTACACAGCTCTGTTTTGAACTAGCTAGAAAACCGGGAGTTTTTTTTTCAATATTCAAAGGCAGGCTAGTATGACAAATGATAGAAATGGCAACGAAAATAGTCCTTGAACTTTGCATCTGTAATATACTACTATCATCTTTGATTGTTTCGCCGAAGGACATATGCGTATCGGAAAACTGAGTTGACTCACGACTCCTGAATTTTTTTTATTGACTCTTCATCATCTGGAGATTTTGTGGTTGAAAATTCAGCATTCTTGTGTGAATTCGTAGCTGATGGTGAGTCATCGAAAGGCCTGTTCACCTGTTGATCCTAAGAAAATTCTGGTAGGGATGTTGAACAACGTGAAGGTTGGTATAATATAAGAGTACTCAGAACTCCTGAACCCGAATGTTATGCCAGATCAGTATACTCACCATCTCCACGTATTTTGTATTAGCGATTGGTCCCATCGTTGCACTCAGGACGGTATGGGCAAGAATAACTATAAGGCTCGTGTAAAACCGAATACCTTGCATAGACCGCAGTTTCTCATTATCTGGTGTGATGTTAACGGTTATTAGTCTATGCCAGTTCCTTGGTATAGAAAAGGCAGATACTATTCTTCTCCAACCTTTACTAGTCAATTTTTGATACTCCTCTTCTGATTTGAACCGAGCTGTTCCTTCGTAGAATGTGCCAAATACAACAACCACTACATTTAGTGTGAAAATCATGCTGTGGAACAAGAAATAAAAAATAATTACCATGATTTTTCTTATATACTTATAATACAATTAAGTTCAAGATGCGATGAGAATGTGGTAAAGCAGAAGATCACTAAATTCAATGCTGCGTTTATCGACCACTGAGCGATACAAATATAGGACACTATTCCCTTTACTTGCAAAACCATTAACTTTCTACAAATCAATCATCCCAGGTCCGAAATTTCCTCATTCAGGGACTTCAATGTCCATAATATCGGATGGATCAAATTTTCAAATATCAACAACGAAGAAAGTCGCGAAGCTGAGGCTTTTGCAATAAGCAACAGACTACTCAGATTACAAATGGGACAACTTGTGCATTTGAGATAACGGAAGTTATCCTTAGGCTAAGTGATTCATATTTTTCTTTTTCATTGAAACAAACTTACAACGGCGAACTTTGGTTCAACAAAGATTACGAGGAAGTTGTCGTCTCCAAAAATATCGCATATCGGCAGTGGCGCAAAACTTTTCAGCGAAAATCTCACAATAAAATGTTTCTTGGATCAGTTCAAAAGTTCGAATGGAACGTCTTTTAGTCTTACTATTCCCATGTGAAAAATCACATATAAATACTACGACCATACAACGGTGGTTTGAGTCATATACCTCGAACTTCAAAGTACTTGTGATGCACTGTTTGGAACCTTTGGTGTAGTAATGAAAATTACGTAATTTTTTTTCCCAACACCAAACCGTTATTTTAACACCTCGACACTTGTTTCCATCACCAAGTGATCATCTTCAAGAGAAAGATCAAAGCTATTTTTGGCTAACATTTATGAAAATACTGCAGTCGAACGTTGACCGGATAATAGTATGATAATGGTATAAATTCTATGACGTCGTTTCCAAACTGATGAAATATATTCTTACTCTGGTCTGACCCCTCTGGACCTGTACGTTAAGGAGATTGTGTTAATGACCATGTTACGATTGCACACGGCTGGTGTAAACTTCGAAGTAGGAATGGGTCAATTGAGGCAACTGAGCCTATGACAAGTAATCGCTTACTGTGCAACCTCTGCTGCAGGCAACCAGTGTTGCAACTGAAACCAGGTTTGTGTTTAATAAACCTTACAAAATACAAATAAAACAGAACATCCGAATAATTCATGAACAGAAAATGCAATTCAAGATCTACAAAACTGGATATTTGATTTCTATCTCATGTTCAACAAACATTTCGTAAACAATAGCAACTACGACCTAATTGTTTCAGTTTGTTTATTATTCCATCATTAACAAATACCTAGTTTCAACTTGTCTTCTCCGACCAAACTTGATGAGTCAATGAAATTTATATTTTTTGTTGTAAATTTCCCAAACTATTATAGTTATAGAAAAAATATTCGAAATAATTTTTGTAGTCTGTCAATGGTATCAAAGTTGTCAATTTACTCACGCCACAACAATATCAAGCCAATCCATTGGATACTTTGATGATCTGTTGTCACATTTGAAATTTTCTATACTGCCCCTTAGCCCGTATCGGGAATATTTCGTATTATAACAATGTTCAACGTCCTTCTGAACTTCCGAGTGATTTTTGCCATGGAAGTTAATTTCAGGGCAAGTTGATGGAACACAAATCCAGTGTCGAAGATGGTCGTGCCTGTAGTTGTACTTGTCAGAACTTACTTCCTGAAAAAAAATCGTGGATGCAATATATGGGTCAAACCAGGAGAGACGCTAGTCAGTTAGTTATCGTAAGTGGTTCGTTTTATTAATTTAATCGACTGCCATTTGAATGTTGGTTCGAACCGAAAATATGAACCATCGATTTTTACTGCACATCGTCCAACTCTTGATAGGAATCGCTAGTTGGAAGGTGAAACCTCGTTAATCACTAGCACGCATGAGTTCTGTTTCACGTGTTTCACGAAGTAATGATACCTGGTTAACCAAACGACAGTTTCTCAACAGATTTTTAAACACATGTATACATGGAACGAAAGCATTATGAGAAAATAAAAGAAAAGGGTTACTGAATGATTCATAAAAAATATAAAATACAACCAATTGATTCATTTCAAAATATTCGAGACAAATAATGTACAGTGTCACCATTAAAGTGCGCACCATATGGGAAACTTTTTTTCGAAAAGTTTCAATGAAGTTCAACTTCGGCACTCACCAATACATCACACGGTTGCTGTAAAACAGTCCCTCCAACAAATGTTCAGAGGCAAAGTTATTGGACGTAACTGGGAACATTATTGGCCAGCTAGATCACCCGACTTGACGCCTTTAGACTTTTTTTGTGTTGTTACCTAGAATAAATAGTGTACCGAAGTAGAGCATTTACTGACATACAACATCTGGAAAATACCATTCGCGAGTGCTGTGCAAATATAAATCCCCGATTTATTAAAAATGCAGTTACAGATGTCAGTAGAAGGACCATAATTTGTATTGAACGTGGAGAACGACATACATAGTATAATATTCATTCTTGAGTAATAATGTATGTGTATATATGTGGCTTATCTTATTTGTATCTAAAAGATCAATAAATCGAAAAGAAACAGGCGAAATGCAAATTCTCTTCTGTTTTGCATTTTTAACCAATTTAATTGATTGATTGAAGGGGTCACATGATCTCTGTAATTCAAGCTGAATATCAGTCTAATGCAGGCGTTTTGCATTAGACTAATATTTCAGCAACTTTCCTTATATAGTGATTCGACGTTCTTCTTCACTTTCTCAATATATGCTGGGGCGTCCAGCGCGGGCATCGTCATTCATTTCTTCTCGGCCTTCTGTGAGAAGCTTGTACGACTTGAAAAACGTTTTTCTGGCTTAGAGTACAATCACCGTATGCCACTGTCAGTATTGTAAGTGCTTTTGAGCACTTAATTCCATGTTCTACATGAAATTTGATGCAAATTATTTGATCCACTTGTCTCAAAAATATGTTGGTATACACCAGATGAGTGTACCGACATAAAAGCATGAAAAAATCGTTTATCGAATCGTAGCCCGCGAAATTTGAACTTCCACCTCAATTTTCGAGTAGAGCTCGTACAAATATCAATTCCTTATTCTTCAAATGAGTACAAGGAATCATTAGGAACTTCCTTTTTTTGAAAGTGATCGAGAAAATTATTTTGGGACTATCATCTGACCAGGCCAAAAAGTTACACATTTTTTACAAGCTTCCTACCTGGATTATCTTCCACATACCATTTTCACCATTGGTTTTCGATCTGACTTTGTAAGTGAATGAACAATACAAAGCGTCATCGTCCAAAAGCATACACTGATCGTAGTTGTCTTGGTGGAAAAGTGGTGGCATGGTGGCATATTGTTTATCTGAAAAAATCAATAACTGGTGAAACCGAAATCTCTGGCGTAAAATGAACGCAAAACAAGCACTTTTACCAATCACCAGAAATGCAATGCTCTTCTCGACGCGCGTTTCACCAATCGAGTTGGCGTCCTCAGGAGATAAAAACTCGCTTTCTGGTGGATGGGAAAAGTTGTTGATATTGATTAAACGTTTCAGTAAATGAGAATCTGCATTTTTTCAAGGATAAAACAACAAGCACTACAGGAAAATTTTTAAGGCGCTCTCAGAGCGGTGACTGTGTGAAAGTAGCGATTCACATTGGATTTGAATCGTTGGATATTGAATTCATTTGGGAAAACGTTCTCAGGAAGTTTATTCCACATGAACGCAGTCCTTCAAAAGGAAGAGTGCTTAAACAGTGAAGTTCAAGGTGTACTGAGTTAAACCTTAAAACGATGAGTCGTTCGCCGCGTGTTTCTTATATGTACCGCTCTTGGTGGAATCAAATGTGCCAAGTCACTTGAACACTTCCCGTGAAAGTATATAAAGAAGAGAGACGAATCTCCAACCTTTCTTTGGCGTTCCAGGCTATTAGGCACGTGATGTTCACGTCTCCAATCAGGCGGATGACCCTTTTCTGGATGTAATCCAGCAACTTCAGGGTATGCTTTGGGGGCTGAGCTCCATACATGAGAACACTACTCCAAAGATCTGATCTGAGCTTCAGAAATCATCAAAAGTTGCTGAGGTGTGTTCAGTTTTCTGGTTCGGAACAGTGTTCCAAGTTTTTGAGAAGAAGCCTTTGCAATTCCAGCGAAATGAATGTTCCAAAACATATTGGTGTCTATTTTAACGTCCAACAAACTTAAGGAAGTAGAAAGCGATATGGTCTGACCTGATATTATTATATCCGGTTCGAAGACATTTATTTTCTTGAAGAATACCGATGCCTGGGATTTTGTGGCATCAAACTGAACCTGATTACTTCCACCCCAAGTCGAAATCACTTCTAGATCCTCATTATGCATATGCAACCTCCTGCTTAGTAGCCGATGTCTTGGAATCCAAATGAAATGACAAGACGAATATGCTGTCTTCAGCAGAGCAATACATTGGATTCTTGGTTTTTTCCAACGACCCCTTGATATACAATAAAAAGATTGTTGGAGATAATATGGATCCCTGGGAAATACCAGCGTTGATGTTGAAAGTATTCGACAGATATCCATCGACGGCCACTTGCGGTGAACGTTCTTTCACGAAGCTGATGAGCAATACACAAAAATTATCTGGCAAGCCATAAGTTTGACCAGCAAACACTCATACTACACACGGTCAAAGGCCTTAGAAATATCAAGCGCGGCAGCTCTTGTTTTTCCATGTTTCTCGATTGCGTTATTCGAAATATGGGTGACATACGGTACAAGGTCCCTGTTAATCTTAGTTTCCGAAAGCCATATTGATGATCTTTCAAGATGTTGGAGACTTCCAAATATTTGAGGATATGGTGGTTTACGATTTTCTCTATAATTTGTGATAGTTATTTGGTGTATAGTTATTTGGGAAATTTTTCTTGCCCTTTTTGTGAATACGCTGATCGCGAGCAATTTTCGAACAAGAATGAAAAACCCCTTTCTTGTGAGTCAGGTTGAAAAGTCAAAATAGTGGTACGACTTCATTTGCGCACATCTTGATTATGTGCCTCAGTGTTACAAAGGTATATGTAATCCGCCATTTTGTAGCTGCGGCAAACTTGAATTTGCATCTTTTTCAAAGTGTACCACTATTTCACTAGTCAATCCCTGTCATTTGATACCCATATTGAGGTAGTTGTGAATAAATATGCAATCCGCCATTCTGTAGCTGTGGTTATCTTGTAGCTGTGGTTATCTTGAATTTGCTACTTCTTCTTTAAAGTGTACCATTATTCTACTAGTCAAGCCCTGTCATTTGACACCCATATTGAGGTAGTTGTGGAAAAATATGTATTCCGCCATTTTGTAGCGGCTGCCATTTCGAATTCACAACTTTTTCAAAGTGTACTACTATTCCACTAGTCAAGCCCTGTCATTTGATATCCATTTTGAGGTAGTTATGAAAAAATGTGATTCGCCATTTTGTAGCCGCGGCCATCTTGAATTTGCATCTTTTTCAAAGTGTACTACTAGTGTACTAGTCAAGGTCTGTCACTATAGATAGATAGATAGATATTTTATTCATGTCATTACACAGAAGTGTATATACATACGTCACATATAGTAGATTCAAAAAGTAAAAATGTAAAATATCACAGCTATGTTGTCAGCGGATGTTCCTGCGATTCTGAAACCCTTAGGTACCAGTCGAGATGATGGTAAACGACCTGATGGCATGTCTCTCATACCATGGAAATACGGTAAACCTGTGGTACGGGACTTTACTTGCGTTGACACGGTCGCGGCTTCCCATCTAGCCGAAAGTTCCAAGTCTGCTGGAACTGCAGCATTGTCTGGCGAGAAATTGAAAAGGAAAAAATACCATAATCTTGGAAACAACTATCTGTTCCATCCAGTAGCGGTTGAAACTTTTGGTGTTTATGGCCCGGAGTCTCTGTTATTCGTTCATGAACTCGGAAGGAGAATAGGCCAAGCAACGAAAGATCACCGTTCTACCTCTTTTTTGATAGAAAGAATTAGTATTGCTATTCAACGTGGCAATGCTGCTTCAGTACTTGGAACTATTCCTCCTTCACATAATTTTGATGAGATCATGCATTGCCCTAATTTCAGTACGGAACTGAAACCTCTTCGAAACAAGCCAA